GGGGGGCCAGGGGCCAAAGCCTTTGCCCTTTTTCCACGTTTTCCTTTTCCCTTTCCCCCTTTCCCCCTTTTTCCCCTTTCCCCTGTCCCCCTTTCATTAAAAAAAAAAAAAAAAAAAAGTTTCCGGAAGGATGGGGAAGTAACCGATTTGGGAATTTTGCTCCGAAAGACTGGGGGGGGGGGGGAGCCAGGGGCAGAGAGGCACCTACTGCGCTCCAGTCTTGTCTGAAGACTGCCCCTCACCCACCCAAATCATCAAACAATCACATGCAGAGGCAGGGGGTAGATTTACTCCTGTGTACAGATGAGGAAACAGGCAAATGGAGTTAACTGAGCTTCCCACAGCCACTTCGGAAATGAGCGGGGGGTGGGGGGTGATACTCAAACCTGGAGTCTCCTGGCTAAAACAACACCTCCCCATGACCCACTAGAAAGAGAACGGGGCTGCGGAGGGCCCGGGGGGTCAGGGAGCAGGAGCCCAGAGCGGCCGCCCTGCTGTGAAGGGCATCTGGGCACAGGCTCCGCTTAGGGGCCTGGCACCATCTTCCCGTGGTGGAGCGAGGGTGCCTGGCCCGAGGGCCGGCCGGGCAGTGGGAGGTTTACCCTCCAGAATACTTTGCTGGGGCCCCTGGGCCCTTGGCTCTCCTACATCCTGGCCAGGGCCCTGGGCTTTTGCTGGGAGCTCATCCCAGGGTGCTAGGTCAGGCCTGTTGCATGCTGCTTCCAGGCCTGCAAGTCCCTCCCCACCAGGGGTCCCTCAGTGCAGCTGCCACTCATCTCAGACTCCCCCGTGAGCTCCGGCCCTGTCTTATCCCCTCCTCACCATCTGCCCCGTTCACAGCCACTCCTCAGACCCTAGCACAGGGCTGTCCCCTGAGGCCAGCACCAGCTGATTGACAGCCCCACCCTTCTCCCTGCAGGCTGTGCCCTTTACTGGGGAGATCCAAGGAGGCCTGGAGGACGGGCTTCAGATCACTGTCAATGGGTGTGTTCACCCCAGCGCCAGCAGGTACGCGACACAAGTGGCCTTTGTCTGCAGCCTGGCCCTGAGCGGCCACTGTGCCTGGGTGTGGGGTTCACCCAGCAACCTCCCATCTCTCCTGCACCTGCCCACATGCCCAGCATCACTGTACAGTGCCACCGACAGGCTCCAGGGCTAAGGAGACCCCCGGGCTCCCCAGTCCCAGTCTAAGGAGGGACACAGAATAGCCCAGAGGCCAGAGCTGGGGTGCAGGCTTGAGCTTTGCACGGCACAGGCCAGGGGAGCAAACCCAGAAGCGGCCTGGCTTGCTGTAACTGCTCTGGTCTCTGGAGCCCGTATTCTGTTAGCGTGTTCGAGTTCCCAGCTAAAGTACTGCGGTATCTTTTGGTTTCAAGGCCCTTCCTGGGAAATATTCAGCCGATTCAAATCCTGTTATCTAGTCAGTACTGTTGGCCGCCCCTGTCCCCCACCTCTCCCTGGTGGGCTGTCTGGGTTCGGGGAAGGGTCCCTGGTCTTCTCAGGGGCTGGCAGGGTCTCAGACCACACACAGCCCTGGCCAGTCTCTGCAGAGGCACCCGCGGGTATGTGGCCCTCACCTGGTTGGATTGGCGTCCGCCTGGGGGCCACCGCTGCACTCCGGCCTGGGTCTCAGCCACGCTGCTCCTGCCACCTGCTCACGAGCGGCATCGGCACTCTCGGGAGCCCCTCCATGCTGCCCCCAGGGCTCTGCACTCCGGGACTCCCGATGCCTCCCTCGGCCGTGGCTGCCTCGGGGCTGGGCACAGTGCTGAGGCTGTGGGGGAATGCAGGCGACAGGAACAAGAGCCCTGCGCTGCAGCTCCGGGTGTCGGCTGGGGAGACCGCAGTGACCCAGGGAAGCTGCACAGAGCTCAGCGAAGGCCGCAGGCGGCAGAGACACCTCAGAGGAGAGCCTCAGCTGGAACTTGGATTTGGGATAGGAGTGGGAAACGCCCAGGGAAAGGCGGAACAGCTGTACAGCCCCTGTTGTTGCTGGGAGAGGGCCTGTTGTCTTAATTCCCACTCTTAGGGCTCCACCTGTGCCCAAGGACATTTGGACAGGAGGGGCCCCCTGAGGAGAGGGATGGGACAGAACCTTGACTCGCACTGGGGACTTCGTCTGCACGGCCTGGTCTAGCCATCCCTGAAGGACCCCCCCCCCCTTTGTGGGTGGAGCAACTGAAGGGTCTTGTGGCTCAGGGGTCTTCCCAGACGACAGACAGCACAGAGCAGGGATCTGACATCGGGGCCACCACATCCACACCAAAGGGGTTCCCCAGAACAAGCACCAGCCCCCATTGGGGAGGGACCTAGGCAGAGCCGGCGCCCTGCCAGACAACTGCCATTCCCATCATCTCCCTCCGTCTGTAAGCTGGTTCTCCTCTTTCCCACTTCAGCAGGCTCGGGCCGGCCTCCAGCGAGTGTGCGGGTAGAGCCACAGGCCCTCTCCCAGGTGCACCGGTGCCCGCCACCTCGTAATCATTTCTAACCCCTGTGCTTCCTGTCGCTGGTGCCAGCACTCCGCCTTATCCATTTTCCACTCATTCTGAGAAAATCAGGCGAGGAGAGCAAAAAAGCAGTCATTGCACAAAAACCATTAGGCGAGCAAAAAGGAGGGGAACGCAGGCTGTCTCAGGCGCGAGGCTTCCCTCTCCCTGGCGGTGAGCCAGGCCACAGGAGACCCTGGTCTCCCTCCGCCTAGGTTTGCAGTGAATTTACAGAGTGGCTTCAGCGAGAACGACATTGCCTTCCACTTCAACCCGCGCTTCCAAGAGGGTGGATACGTGGTCTGCAATACCAAGCAGAAAGGCAACTGGGGCGTGGAGGAGAGGAAGATGCACATGCCCTTCCAGAAGGGGGCGCCGTTCGAGCTGTGCATCCTGGTGCAGAGCTCACATTTCCAGGTGAGCACACCTCGCCCCTGCGCCCAGCTCCCTGCCCCTCCAGCCCTGCCGGCGCTAGGCGGGACCTTTGAGTCATCACACTTCTCAAGGTCAGGGCAGAGCAGCAGCCGGTATAGACACCACGAGCAGCTCCTGGGAGGGTGCTGCCGATGGCTGGCTGGGCCCCTCATGCACTTCCACCTGGACCTGCGGGTGCACCTGCTACTTCTTGCACTCTGCAGCCGAGCCCGAGATTCATCACCATGTTTTTTGTCTGGGTTCACTTAAACAAACAACAAAAAAGATGAATTTATTTGAAAGGCAGAGTGACACAGAGAAAGAGAGATTTTCCATCCACTGGTTCACTCCACAAATGGCCACGTTAGCCAAAGCTGGGCCAGGCCAAAACCAGGAGCCTGGGGCTCCATCCATGTCTCCGAAGTGGGGGCTGCTTTCCCAGGTGCATTAGCAGGGAGCTGGATCAGGAGTGGAGCTGCTGGGACCTGAACCAGTGTCCATACGGGATGCCGGCATCACAGGTGGCAGCTTAACCGGCTCGGCCACAGCACCAGTCCCATGGGTGCCTTTTAAGGTCCAGGTTAATTAGCAGCAGCCATTTCTCTAGTCCAGGTTCCTAGTAACATCTGCTTACCAGCAATGTTGTTCCAAACTTCACCCAGGTTCCAGTCCTTGGGCCACCCGTCAGTCACGCCAAGTTGTCTTTGCCAGCGCGGGGAGCGGGTGGAGTGCACGTGTCCACGTCCTTGCTTGTCTGGGGCGCTCCCATCCATTCCACTCGCCCCCAGGGGTCACAGCTCCTCTGTGAATATTTTTATGTATATTTAAATAATCCACAAGGACAAACCTTGCAACAGACAGCCAACCATAAGAACTAAGAGCCAGGTGCCAGAGACAGGCGGCAATGCGGGTGGGTGCCCCTCGGGGCCGACACCCACTCCTGAGATTGAGACAGCGCCAAAGGCTGCCGCCACCTCCCAGGAGAGGGTGGGCACGCTGACCACGCTCGGGGCTGGACTTGCAGAGGCCGGGGCCTCCTTGCTGACCATGCACACTCTCTGCGGCAGGTGACAGTGAATGGTTCCTTCTTTGTGCAGTACGCACACCGGGTGCCCTTCAGCAGCGTGAACGCCATCTCTGTCGCTGGCTGTGTGCAGCTGTTCTACATCACCTTCAAGGTCAGACCGTCCAGCTGGAACCTGTCCGGGGTACTGGGGTGCAGGGCCCGGCTCATCGCCTCTCCTGGTGGCTCCAGGGACACAGCAGTTCCCCTTCTCTGTCCCTGCTTCTGAGTCCTGTCTCCATGTGGAACCCCCGCCCTGGTCTCCCAGGCTCCTCAGCCACTCTGCTCTCTGGCCCCTGCTATTTCTACCCCAGTTATGAGGCCAGGTGTTTGGGGAAAGAACCCAGGCTTGGGAACCAAGCTAAAGGCAGCTGAAATTCCTGGCTCTGCCATTCCTGTCGTCTGTTCAGTCTTAGTGGCACGACTTCACCTCTTCCCGTCTAGGCTTCCTCATCTTTGGGATGAGCACAGTGACCACCACCTGCAGAAACCACATGTGTCAGGTCACACGTGGCCCCCCGGGCCCACCCAGCATCTGCCTGACCCTCCCTATGCCTTCATGTTTTCTAAATATGTTGCTGACATCCGAAGGGTCAGGAGACCTGTGTGAGAACTAGGAAGGCTACCAACTGGGGGGTCCACATTCCCACTGGGCACCAGGCAGCTGCTGTTGTGGCCACTTGTGGCTCCGAGTGGGCTCCTTGAGGGGAGCAGAGTGCACAGTAGGTCCTCTGCAAATGCAGGCTCTGTCCTCATCTCCCATAGTCCTCCCTCCCCGAGTCTCTTCCCTGAAGAGTAGGGAGGGAGAGAGAGTGAGAGAGAAGGCAAGAGAGAGAAAAAAGGGGAGGGGAGGTAGACGGGCAACCCCCCTCACTCACTGCAGCCTAACCTGATCCCCCTGCCTGCCTACTCTCCACCCCCCGACCCTACCCCTGCTTTCTGCCCCTCCGTGGCTCTACTAACGCTTCTCTCCTCTGCACGGCACCTTTTGTCTTTAACAGAGCACCCGCGTGGCCCTCTGCCAGCCTGCCTTCACGAGGCCATCCTCCCAGCCAGTGCGTTCCCCACACAAGTGCAAGGGGCGCAAAGCAAGAGTGAGTTGAACATGGAGGCCATGGGAGGCTGAGCAGAAAGGACAGAGGGCTGAGCGGCTGGCGCAGCCCATGGCCAGCCAGCACCAGTGGGCTTCGTCCCACCCACCTAAGGGCTCCCTCATCCTTGCCTCCGCTTCCTTTAGAAATTTATTTATTTACCTTTAGTTTATTTGGAAAGTGAGAGAGACAGAGAAAGAGACACACACAAAGACAGAGAGAGAGACAGAGAGGGATCTCCCATGCGCTAGTTCACTGCCCCAATGCCCACAACAGCCAGGCCTGGGCCAGGCCGGTGCCAGGAGCCTGGAACTCCACCCTGGTCTCCCACGTGGGTGGCAGGGACCTGAGTACTCGAGTTATCACCACTGCCTTCCAGGTACATAGCAGGAAGCTTCCTCCCCAAAGCCGCTGCCTCCGGCCCGGCCACCAGTTCCTCACGACGGTCACTGTCACGGCTCCCCACTGCCCCGACACCCACCACTGCCACGGAGACCCTGCTGGACACACGTCTGCTCACGTCCTCCCCCTGCTTAAAAGTCTTATAAGGAATTCGGTCAAGATTTATTTGAAAGGCAGAATTAGAGAAAGGGAGAGACGGAGAGAGATCTTCCATCCCTGGTTCATTCCCCAAATGGCTGCAATGGCCAGGGCTGGGTCAGGCCAAAAGCAGGAGTCTGGAACCCCATCCAGGTCTCCCGTGTGGGTGCAGGGACCCAAGCACTTGGGCCATCCTCCGCTGCTTTCCCAGGCTCATTAGCAGGGCGCTGGATGGGAAGTGGAGCAGCCGGGACTCGAACTGGCACTCCAATATGTGATGGTCGTGAAGCAGGCGGCTGCTTGCCCCCACTGTGCCACACTGCCAGCCCTAATCCCTGCTTAAAAATTTTAAAATCCCCAAACCTTCTAACAGAAGCCCCAGGTCCCCAGCAAGACTTCTAGAATCCCATCCACACTCACCCTTTGACTCCCAGCTTCAGCACCCCTGCACATGCTGTGGCACCGCTGTCCCCACTCTGCCCACTGCAAGCTCCCAAGTGCCCTTCAATGCCATGTTGAGTGTTGCTCCTCTGGGGACTTGTCCCCACCCAGAGATTGCTCAATGTTCCCCCCTGTGCCCCCATAACCACATGTATGGTCGTGTCTACCTGTCCGTCTCCGTCAGCCCGCCTCCACCTTCCCTGCGCCCTCGGAGGGCTGGGACTGTGGCTTGTTCATGTCTGTGTCCCCAGCACTTTGCCCAGTGCCTGACAGACGGTAGGGACTCAGTGGCTCAGTGTGGAAGGTCGTTCACACCGTCGGGAATGGAGAAACAGAATGGGAGCTCAGCCAGCGCAAGAGCAGCCCGCTGGGCACGCCAGGATCCGGGAGGGGACGGCAAGCAGCCCTCCTCGGCCACTCAAGCGGTGGGGGCTGGGAAAGGGGAGCTTCATCCGCCGAGCCAGCCCACAGTCCAGCTTGTTCCCAGCACAGCACCTGCCTCAACACTGGCTGAGCTCCCGGGGACCCTGGCAGGGCAGCCCAGCGCTGGCCCTGGCCTCGGGGGCACAGGGGCTGTGGCAAGTGCAATCAGACAGCTCAGGGCACCATTTGGAACTGGATCACTCACAGCCCAGCTAGCTCGGGCAGCTTGTTGAAGCTTTCTGAACCTCGCCACCTCCCCAGCAAAACAGGGGCTGGAAAGAGCACTTACCAGGCCTTTGGGAGTCAATGGTTGCCGCTGGCGGGGAAAACCTGTCCCTGGAAGGCATCATGTTGCCCTGGGCGCTCAGAGGAGCGCTGTGGCCCAAGTCAGGCGCGCTCTCCTCTCTCCCAGGAGAAACCAATGAGAATCTTCTGCCTCCCCTCCTCCCCCCGGCCTGGTCCCTGCTGCACCTGAGGGCAGGGGGGTGGGAAGGAGGCAGCGTTCCCAATAGCTCTGACTTCGCCTCTAGACCTCACGTGGCACCCACAATAACAACTGTTTCGATTTTTCTCACCCCTTTCAGCCTCCAGGCTTCGGTTCTGCCAACTTTGCCCCTGTCGTAAGTCTTGGCTCTTGGCTGGTCCTGTCACCTGTGGGTCAACAGGGAGCAGGAAGGCCCAGGCATTGCCCTCTCCCATGGGGAGGGTGGGTTGGGGAGGCCAGAGCCCCTGACCACCATCCTGGTCTGCAGGATGCTGGTGGGAAGGAGCTGGGCGTTGGGGGGGGGGGGGTTGGCTGGTCCTTGAACTTGAACTTGAATTGCCACTTGTTTGCTCAGGCCCCTGCTTGAGGTCTCACATTGACTTCTCCTCCCTGCTGAGCTCAGAGAAGCTGGCCTGCAGAGGAAAGATGGGTCAAAGGCCACAAGCACAGCCATACTTCTTGTCCAGGAAGTCACTGCCCTCCCTCAGCGCGTGGAGAGAGGAAAGCCCTCTCTCCTTCAGGGCCCCAGGGGAGTGCTGTCATGTGGCGCCCCCTGGTGGTCCTCATGCTGCACGTTTCTTTCTGCCAGACTCCAGTGGTGATGCCCACGGCTCAGAGTGTCCCTGGACAGATGTTCCCAGTAAGTCTAGAGATGCCCCACAGCGTCCGGCTTCAGCAAGAGCTGCCTGCTGGAGCCCTGGGGCCAGGGGGACAGCAATGTAGCAAGGAGGATGGGGACAGCAGGTGGGCTTCGGCTCAGGACGGCACAGCCGCAGCATGTGGTGGGTTCCCCAGGGGTGCAGAGGCCAGCAGGGTACCTGGGCCCCAACACCCACAGAGGCGCTTCCTGGCCCTCAGTGCGGGGCACACTGCTGGTCTCAGACAAGCTCTTCCTGTTCCCCTCCTGCTGTACACGCCAGGTGGGGGTCTGGATGAGGGTGGAAGGGCAGGTGACCGTGATGGGAGTCCCAGGACTGCTAACGTGACCAGGAAGGTGGCCAGGAGGACCCCTGGCTCCCGCCGGAGCAGCCCCTCTAGGGAACGCATGTCTGTGCTCCCACGTTGAGTTTCCTGGTCTCTCCCAACAGAATCCTGGAATCCCACCCATGCTGTACCCAAACCCTACCTATGTAAGTGTTCTGGGGGGGGCGGGGAGGCAGCTGGGGTGACCCTCTGACCTTGCCTAATTGAATGCAGTTCTGTGTTGAGCTGAGAATGTGCTAAATAAAGCAGCCAGGGCAACTGGAAGATGCCGCACGGAGCTTTCCCCTTGAAAGTTGCCCTGCGGCCGAGCAGACGCCGTGGCCTTCCCTTGTCCCCCTGGAGTCCCTTGGTTTCTGTCCCAAGTTCCTTTTGCGACAGTGTTAGCCCCTTCCCTTGGGGAACCCTGGCTGGCTGTCCTGAGTGCTAATCCCCCAGGACGCAGGATGCAGCCGGCCTGGCACAGGGGCCCATACAGACGACCCTCCGGCTGACCTGTGCCCTCCTGCCCGCAGCCCATGCCTTTCTTCACCAGCATCCCGGGCGGGCTGTACCCATCCAAGTCCATCATCGTGACGGGCACCGTCCTGCCCAGTGCTCAGCAGTAAGCCAGGGATGCCTGGGCTGGCAGGGAGGAGACGGGCCCTCCGAGGTCATTCTGGCCATCCCCCTGCCTCCGGATAGGCTGAGGGGGTGGCTGGCCCTGAGTCCAGTGGGCAGAGAGAACCCCTGTGGCCCGCCCACCCCAGGTTCCATATCAACCTGCGCTCCGGGAGTGACATCGCGTTCCACCTGAACCCCCGCTTCAACGAGAACGCCGTGGTCCGCAACACCCAGATCAAGGGCTCGTGGGGGTCTGAGGAGCGGAGGCTGCCACGGCAAATGCCCTTCCACCGTGGCCAGAGCGTGGCGGTGAGGCCTGCGGCCGGGCGCGCAGGGAGTGCGGATGGCGTCTTGGGATGCGGGCAGGGCGGAAGCTGCTGCCGCTCCAGGATGACATTGCGGTGACTGTATTGTCACTACCTGTTGTGGTGGGGACACAACTTCTCAGGTGCAAGTGACCGGCCCTGAGGGTACACTGCCAACCAGGGCAGGTGGAACCAAGAATGAGGTGTGGTCATTATTCACACATTCATTCAAGGCCATTTATCTGCTGGGGCGGGGGGGGGGCGTTGGTAGCAGCTGCGGGCTGATGAGGCTGTGACCCTCTGGCCCCAACTACCCTCAGACTGGAAAAAGGCTAGGGAGGAGGCTACTAGGGGTGCCAGAGGGCTCGAGCAGGCATTCCCGACCCTGGTGGCTCAGGGTGCACTTAGAGACTCCGCAAGGAGGGGGCTGCCTCCTCCGGGGTCCTGAGCGGCTATCCCAGGGTGGGAAGCAGCATTTTCGGCGGGGGACTGGCACGTGCTAAGGGACGGGGCAAGGAGCAAGTCCTCCCGCGCGGCTGGAACACAGACATGAGGCTGCCTGAGGAAGGCGGCCTGGAGGAGGAGACCTGAGCCTGCAGCTCGGGCTGACGGTCTCCACGTGCCAACGCCGGCCTCTCTGCCCAGGTGTGGATCATGTGTGAGAGCCACTGCCTCAAGGTGGCCGTGGATGGCCAGCACCTGTTTGAGTACAACCACCGCCTGAAGAACCTGCCCGCCATCAACAACCTGGAGGTGGCCGGCGACATCCAGCTGACCCACGTGCAGATATAGGCGACCTCGCAGGGGCCTCCCCGGCCTCTGACCTTTAGCCTTGCTGCCTCACCTTGCACCTGCTCCAGCCCCTCACCCTCCAGGAAAGCCACCTGATGACTTCCTGCAGGCCTGCAATTGGCCAGAACTTTCTCAGCAGTGGGCTCGCCCGTTGGCCGTGTCCTTACAATAAACAAGCTTCTTGGTGCATAATGTGAGGGGGCCGTGGTTTACTAAGTGTGTCTGGGGACACTGTAGAGTCTGGAATCGGAAGGGAGTGGGAGGAGAGAGCGTGGGCGCCCACGTCTACCCCACAGGCCATCGGGAGGCAGCTTGGGGCTCTGGCCTCCAAGGCAAGAGTCCCTGGCACGGGAGCCCTAGGCGAGGGACCTGGGTGCAGGGGCCCACGTGTGGTTTGTCTGCCCCAGAGCGGGAGGGATTTTGGGGGTGGAGACTCACGCCAGCTAGGGGGCGTCATGATTTGAGAGGCAGAGAGACCATTCCCATGCACAGGTTCACTCTCTGGACGCCTCAGTGGTCAGGGCTGGGCCAGTCCAAAGCCAGGAGCTGGGAACTCAATGCAGGCACCTGTGGGCGGCAGGAGCCCAAGGACTTGAGCCATTGCCTGCTTCCTTCCAGGGTGGGCATCACCCGGAAGCCGGGATTGGGAGTGGGGCCAGGACTTGAACCCAGGTGCTCTGACACGGGATGTGGACGTCCCAACCACCAGGCCAAAAGCCCGCCCTGCCTCCCCGAGGCTGAGGCTTGGGCCGTGGGTAGGATGTGATGATGTCATGGGCAGAGCCCCCAGGCTGGAATCCGGTGGCTTTGTTAGGAGAGGGTTGGGGCCTGGAGGACACATGTGTGCTCCCCACCCCTCAGCGCATGACGCCCTGCACTCACCACCAAGGCCACCACCAGCTGTGGTCACCTGACCTTGGACCTCATGAGGGGCGCACCCAAACAAACCCCTTTATCATTTACCCAGCCCGTAACGTGTCAGGAGCAGCAGAGACGCTGGGTGGAGCTGGAGCTGTGATCACAGGGCTGGCCTGCGGCAGGGGTGTGGGGGTGGGGGGTGCTCTGAGAGTGAGGAGGGGGCAGGAGGGGTGGGGAGAGGCCAGCTGGGAGTGAGATCTGGTTGTGCTACTACACAGGGGCTGCCTCCACTGCAGGGGTGAGGGTGCGCACAGGGACAGCGGCTGCGTGTATGGGATCTGCCAGCCGCGGGGCCGATGTCAGGGAGCCAGTGCATCCTGCTCCACCCCAGCCCCCCAGGGACCTCCAGCAGCAGCAGAGACGCGGGATCTCAGGCCCGCCCAGCCCTCCTGCCACCTCTGCATTTTAACAAGACCAGGTTCGTGAGCTGGCTCTCGACCACATGGTTCGTGCATCGCTGCTGTTCAGGGCAGGGGGCATCAGAGGTAGGCAGGCCCTCATCTCCCACCCTGTCTCCCTCTCCCACCCTGTCTCCCTCTCCCAGGTGGGGACTGGGGAACGGGGAGCAGCAGGTGAGGGGGCCAGTGAAGCTGAGGCCACACCAGGGCTGGGAGCAGGTTTCCGCCCGATCACCCCTTGCTCCCAGCCCAGTCCTTCCATGGCTCAGCCTCCCTGGCTGGCTCCACACCCAGAGAAGGCCCTGCAGGTCTCAGGTGGGTGAGGATGACACATGCTAGTCCTTTATTGTTTAGTTGCCTGCCGGCAGGCAGAGCTCCCCTGTCTTCCCAGGGGCGGAGTCACTGTGGCTGCATAAACTCTGATGGAGCAGGTGGCCCCGGGGGCTGCAGCCAAGGCCTCCCCCAAAGACCTGGGGTCCTGAACAGAACCCCACCCCTCATCACACCCCCCAACAAGACACACCCAGTGGGAGGCACGGCTCCACTCTGCCCCCAGCACAGAACTCCACCTCCTGCCCCCGTCCCCACGCTCGCTTCAGACAAGCCACCAACTGGCTGGGGCACCCTGGGTGGACAGCCTTTGTCCAAGCTGTGGCACCAGCAGCAGCCTCCTAACACTACCTAACTTAGGGCAGCTTTCCCTACAAAACACACACACGAGGTGTGGTTGGAATAAAATATATTTCATATAAATATTTCTATCAAATAAACATATAGGGAAGGCCCAAGAGGCCCTTGGGAACACATTGGAGTATTTTTTTTAAATACAGAGGCATAAATAACTATACACAGGGCGGTCATATACAGTTGCAGGACAGCGTCCCCTGGTGGTCACTCAGAGCGGAGCAATGACTTGCCAGGCCTGGTGTAGGGACCAGAGAGGTCCCCGCTCCTCTGACCCCTGTGAAGGTGGGTTCCAGGGAGAGAAGAGGCTCCACCCAGTGCAGGCTGCACCCTGGCAGTGCAGAAAGGAGATGTTCGAGGCTTTGGGATAATCACGTTCCTCCTCCTGCCCAGGCCCCGCGACCTGGATAGTCAGAAGTCAGCTCCATCCTCAGATTCCGTGCCTTTAGCTTCTCCGTGGGCTGTCAGAGCCCGGTGTCGCCGGGCTGCTCCGACCTCTGCACCTCGTAGGGAAATGCTGCGCCAAAGATATCTTCGTGGTAGCGCTTCCGGCTCTACAGAGAAACAGCCGACAATGTGTCGGTGCCACTGGCCCAGCCACCTTGCCTTCACCACGTCCCTGCTGGCCCGAGCCCGGCTCCCTCTCCCCCACGTGGTCACAAGCCATGCGCCCTCCCTGCCACCAGGTGAAGGTCTGCACTTGGATTTGGCGTCCAGGCTGCACCTGATGGGGTGGCCCAACTCCACACCTTCCCACGCCGCCCGGGGGGATGGCAGCCCGGGGCCCGCCTGCTGCTCGTCCTGTAAGATGCTTCCAGAGGTGGGAGCTACGAGATGCCAGGGCTTGGGAAGTGTCACGACGCACAGCGGCACGTGACAGGCTGGTGGAGGTCTCGCAGGAAAGCAGTGTGTTTGCCTTGTTTAACTGAGCATGTCCCTAGCTACTGGGCCTTGGCACCTTTTTATGTCAAATATCTATCGACCAAATGAACGCATTTTGGAAAATGTCTTTGATCTCTTGGCTGTCCATCAGATAGGCCAGAGTGGCTCCTACCCCAGGGCCTTTGCACGTGTGGTTCCCATTCACCAAAAGGAGGTACAGAGCTCGCCTATGGACTTCTCACAGCTGGCTGGCAACCAGACCAGGACACACAGCCCAGTCTTTTAAAGCCCTCCAGGCTTCTTTCATGGCCAGAGGCATTTCTAGGCCTGCCTCCCTGGCTCTACCCAGGCCCTGGCTCCCACAGCGTGCATCCTTGGCCTGCAGCCCCGCCCGCGCACCAGCCACCATACCTTGAGAAGGAAGAAATAGTCCTCCACCTGCTCCTCGCTCAGGCTCAGCTTGGCAGCCACCAGCTGCTTGAGGACGAGGGCCACGTCCCGGGCCATGCACACGCCCCCACACACGTAGATGTGGCCTGGCTCCTCCAGGAGGACACGCAGCACCTCGTCGGCCAGCTTCTGCCGCAGCAGGTCTTGAACGTACACCTGAACCAGAGGAGACACAGGGCCCGGCCCCCTGCTGCCACAGCCAGGCATGGGGAGAGGGCATGCAGGGGGAGCTCGCAGAGGGAGCCGCTCAGGGCATGTGCACCAACGGCCCGGCCACCACTGGAGAGGTGAATGCGGGCCACAGGCCTGGCCTCGAGGCACTTACCGCCAAGTGGGGTGACTGCCCCCGAGTTCATCACATCCCAAGAGGCCTCCAGCGAGCCGGCTTCCCAAGGCCCATCTGCCTACTCCCCGGAAAAGGGAGCCCCTCGGGGCAGAGCGTGCCGTGGCCCAGCTGTCATTCAAGGCAGGGCTTTGGGTTCCCAGGATCCCCAGGCTCTGGGGAACAATTGGGGACCCTCAAGATGCACAGTGGCCCCAGGGTCGGGTCTGAGGGAAGCCTGGGGTCAGGTTCATGGGCCTGAAACAAAGTCAGTCCCAGCCCCCCAGGCTCATAGGGCAGTAGCTGCCCCTCCAACCCTACCAGGCTCCCGCGGGCAGCTGGCCTGAGCCACCTGTCCCCAGCAGTGTGCGGCCCAGGGCTGGGCTCTGGATTCACCTGCCCTGTGACCCGACTGGGTCCTGGACCACCTGGGGAGGACCCCTGGAGGCTGTCCACTGGCCTCTAGCTGGAGCTGAGAAGACAGTGGACCAGAGAGGGGTGAGCCTGGCAGGGAATCAGGGCACAGCCCGCATCGGTGCCTGGAACAAGCACTTACCTTGGGCTGGCCGGGCAGGCGCGAGTAGGCCGTGTGCACCCCGCTCAGCACCCCCTTCTGCATCATCTCCAGCAACTCCTCCCAGTACAGGTGGTCCTCGTCTGGGTGGCGGCACCCGAACACCAGGATCATGCGGCCGCCCCGGAGCCCTGTGGGATCCAGCAGGCTGCAGTTACCAAGGTGGCCACCAGAGGCACCCAACTTGAATTCTCATTCCATTCTCGCCAGGATCCTATCTGGTACTCTCCCCATTTCACAGGACAGAAAACTGAGGCCCTCATTCACGCCACACAACTGAAAGTGCAGATTCCACTAAGCCCATCAGTGGTCTAAAGTGGGGACTTTTCCCACTGCCCCCCTACCCCCCATGGCTGCAACATCAGAGGCAGGAAGCCAGCAGTCCTAGCCCCCAGAGCCCCCTCAGGCTGTGGCACGCTGGTTGGGGGGATGGGCCTCACTCTGGAGAGGGGCCAGGCAACATCTGTGGGTGGTGGCATGACTCCTCCCGCCCCCGGTTCTTCTCCCAGGCAGTGTCCGCTCCCACCCAGGAAGCCGGAAGTCGTACCTTTGTACTCGGAGTCATGGAGTCGCTGCTGCCAGAAACTGCGGAAGGGGGCGATGCCCGTGCCGGGCCCAATGAGGATGCAGGGATGGGAGGGGTCCTCGGGGAGCTGGAAGCCGCTGGCACTGCAGGGGAAGGAGAGAGAGAGAGACCCCTGCCTCAGACACTGCTGGCTGGGTGCATGTGCAGGCCAGGGGCTGGGGAGCTGGGTGTGGGGCGAGGCTGGAGAGGACGTGGAGCTCAGCGCTGACTTCCCAAGGCCTGCGGGCTGCTCGTCTCCCCTAGAACCTTGTGAGCAGGCTGAGCTCGCTGCATGCTGCCCTCCCCACTCCCACCCCCCACCCCCCACCACTGCTATTCCTGCTAGAGCCCAGCCACATCCCGCAGCCAGCCAGGGCAAAGCGTGGGGAGACCCAGTGGGACCCTAACGCCTTCTTTATGGGCCCAGGAGCCCCGAGGGGTACAAGCCCCAGATCCCTGGCCTTTACCCCAGAATGCCCAAGCCCCAGCCTCCCCAGGGACAGCAGAAGGGGTGGTTACCTCCGCACGAAGCAGGGCACTGGGTCTTGGGGCTTCAGGCTGCTGAGCCACGTGCTGCAGACTCCATGGTGCAGGGGTCCCTGGCCACCTGCAGTGACAGCACAGACGTGACCTCCATCCCCCCACACCAGGACACCCCTCGGCCCGCTCACTCAGGTCCTCTCAGGCTAAACGTTGGGGTCCCTGGCTCAGAGACCCACCCTCCACGTGCCCAGAGCCGGGGAAGGAGGAAAGCTCCTTTTGCCAAAGCAGAAACCAAATCTCAGGTCTCTCGGTCAAGGTCACTCAGGTCGCAGGTTCTCCTACCCCTACTCAAGTGCTCCTTCCTCCAGGGACCCTCCCAGGCCCATTCAGCTCCACTGACAGCAGCCCCGGAAGGCCACTGCCAAGTGCCTCTGCAGGGCTGGCCTTGCTGGCGCGGAGGCCGGCTGACAGAGACCTGAGCATGCTGCCTGCTCCAGTGTCTCGTTCTGCCCCCCAGCGGCCCCTCCTCGGTTTGACCCTGGCCCTCTCTGAATGCCAGCCCCTTCCCCACAGCCCAGACTTGACCACAGGAAACTATCCACCCTGGGAAGTCCTCTGGTGTCCCCTGGGAGGGGCCTCCCCTCTCGGGGTCTGGGGGCGGAGCCAGGGCTGGGTGGGCGCGCTCAGGCAGGGTAGAGTGCATGACTTGACAAACTGCGTGATGCTGCTTTGCAGAGCAGAGAGGACCGGGGAAGGGCCAGCTCCCAGTTTGGCAGACCCAGGCAGTGACCAGCCACGGCGGACAGGGGAGGGGGCCTCAGCCGCCATCTGCTACCCGCACGCTCCTTCTCAGCACAAAGACAATCACCTAATCACAGCTGTGCCCGCCTCTTGCTGGCCCCTCTGGATGGCCTATGTGTGCCGTGTTTCCCCCACGGTGCCAGGCACGCAGAGGTACACCACCGACAGAACGACCAAGTGAGCCGACAACCAAGGCCGAAACACCCGCGTGTGCGCCGGGCAGTCGGCGAGACTGAGACTCACTGGGCTCCTGTGGGGCGAGGGCTGCTTTGTACATCTGTTCTCACTACGTTGTCCCAGCAGCACCAGGCCCATCCCATGGCCAACAAATTGGACTTGACAGTTCACCTGTGGGGGCCTGGCTCTCAGCTCTCCCCTTTGAACAAGCGGCTTCGCCTCCCTGCGCCTCGCACACGAAGGGGTCAGCTGAACATCTGGCTCACGGCAACCTCTTCCCTGCCCCTCCCGGTACCGTTAGCGGTCAACCAGAATTCTCCAGGGCGCCTGCCCCAGCCTCACCTCGGGGGCGGTACGTGACCACGGCCACGGTGAGGTGGACCTCCGTGGGCGTGTGGTCCTGGGAGGAGCTGATCGAGTAGTATCGGGGCTTCAGGTTGGGCAGCTGGGACAGCAGGAAGGCAGCAGACAGCCGCAGCGACGGGAACTCCTCCAGCACCTCCAGGAACGTGGGGCTGTTGGTGAGCTTCCACTTGTTGTACTCTGAGGGCTGGAAACCAGGGGCAGTGTGAGGCACTCGGGGTGCCTTCCCCACTCGGGATCGGGGGAGGCTGGCGGGACCCAGTGTGTATTCATTCGTTTGCTCACTGAACACGCACCAGGTGCACCCGGCGCTGTCCAGGGTGCTGACATCCCCCAGCTGGAGAGTTAAGTTCCTGCTCTAGAGGCACTGGGTACAGTGGGCAGCATTTTCTCTAAGTATGTGCTTGGAATTCCACCATCAGTGACTCACGGGCAGGGGTCAAATTTTTGTTACACTCTAATCTGAGGCATGGCTTTGGAACCGATCAGGCTTTGAAATCTTGGCTGGATGCCCTTACTGGCTGTGGAATCCTGTCCCAACTACTTAGCCCTTACGAAATGAAGAAAGTGCACACCCTGTGGGGATATTGTAGGAATTAAATGAGAAAACGTGGGCCAAGTTAGTACAGCAAAGCCACAGAATAATGGCAGTGGAGGTGGCTGGAATTGGGACAATTGGCAATGATCATGATAACAGCAATGATGATGGTATCCAGTGCATTTTGCAAAGACTTGGGCCCAGAAAATGAGAGTTAATGCACTCTCATTAATTTATTGATTCAGCTACCCATGGGTCACTACATCCATTTACCCCTTCATCCACTCTGTCCATCCTCCAACAGTTCTTACATGCCAACTGTGAGTCAGGTTTTTGGGAACCCTAACACAGACGGGCCACAGCGGTTTCCTTTTAAGCTAATTTCCAAGCACGTGCACCCTGGCTACATCCTGCAGACACCCAGCTGATCTCAGCTCAACACCTCCGTGTCCGAGAGAGGGGGCAGCAGGTGATGCCTGCTTCCTACCAGCCTGTGACCTGGGCTGGGTCCCACTGGGAGCTTAAAGACCGGCTCTGGGCTCTGGGTGCCCCTACTCTGGGACTTGCCCTGCTGCCACCCTCTCCGCCCCCATTGGCCCTGACTCACCTGGCACAAGGTCACCAGCCGCTGTCTCTCGGCCTCTTCCGTGGCCAGTCGGGAAAGTTTCTGGAGCAGCAGCTGGGTTGGGGGCGTGGTGATGTCCAGGAAGTAGGTGAGGGCTTGGCTGAGTGAGCAGGGGGGCAGCCTCTTGTCTCTGACCCAGTAGCTGCCTGCATAGGACAGGAAGGTGTCAGGTTGAAGAAAACACCCAACTTGGGCTTCTCAGAAGGAGACAAGGGCTCTGGGGAAGACGCTTTCCACCCTCCATCTGCAGGAGAGAGGAGACCCTGAAGTTCTGGCTCCAAGAGCAGCAAAAGGAGAAAGAAGGTGGTGCCCAGACAGGGCTGCCAGGGTCCCCTAACAGGCAGCCCACCGACATGATCCCAGGGAACCAACCATGGCCCTCCCTGGCCTGGACTTGAAGTTCAGCAAGACACCCACAGGTGCACCACAGACTCACAACGACTAACCCCACCACAGACGTGTGCACTCCAGGGCCAGCTGCTGACTTGGAGCACAGCCCATGACCATAGTCCCGTGGGCGTTCGGGGGAGCAGACGATCAACCCAAAGCGAGGTGGGTGGCAAGTCCTCCCAGGAGGCCGTATGCTGGGGGTCGGACCTTGGAGCCTACATAACTGGGTCCAGACTCTGGCTCCTCACTCAACAGCTGGGTGGCTGAACATCGTGGGCCTTGGTTCCTTCCCCATGAAATGTGTATAATAACGAAACCTATCTGGCTGGTGCTGAGCACGTGTGGACAGGAGCTGGCAGAGTGCCCGGTACACGGCTACCCGATACACGTGAGGTAAAGAGATTATGATGTCATTTCTTGGGGCCAGGGAGAGGCCTGATGCACTGTGTGCTCTCCCTATGGTCACGAAGATGTCTCTGTCCCCTTGTGCCCATATTTCAGGCTCTGTCGCCCTCTCCTGGACAGTGGGGGCACTGCCAGACTGTGCTTCCTGACTCCTGTTCTGCTCACTGTTTCTGGGGATACAACCTTTGTAAATGTCGTTACCGCCAAGGAAACTAAGGCCAGGGATAGGACTATTGTCGGCAGACAAGAGGGAAGGGGTGGCGGGCTGGGGGCTAGGGGCTGGTGCTGAGGCCGGGCCCCCTCAGCCCCGTGTGCCGTGCACAGGCTCACCGCTCTCAGCCAGGATCTGCAGATGCACGGTTTGGTGGGGGTCAGGACAGTCCACTACTCGTTCCAAGATGCCTTGGACCAGGGCCGGCTGGTTGCTGGGGCAAACCCCGAGGTGCTCTCCGGGCAGGTAGCTCAGGCCAGGGCTGCCCTCGCAGGACAGCTGCACCAGGACGGTGGCTCGGCTGCGGAAGGGAAGGGAGGTCTCTGGTGACGTCACCAGGATTTCCTGCAGTGCTCCCTGATGGGCGGGGTGGCTTCCCCAGGAAATGCGCCCTCCTTCCATTTTCCTGCCCCAGCTCGTGAACCTGGGTCACCGGCCTGTGCTCAGGACAGGGCACGCGCTCAGGTGTGGGTGCCCAAGAGAGCCTGGGGCCAGCTCTGATGGCTCAGCCCCCAGGCTCTACCTGAAGAAGGCATCCGGCCTGAGATGTGCAGGCACTTCTCGAGAAAGCTTCCTTGCCCCAAGCACAAACCCTGTTCTTACAGAACAAAGACCTAGTGAAGCCACAACAGGTACATACAACCTACAGATAAGCCACAACCCTCACTTGTCCTGGCTGGGAGATGGCCTGCCCTGCCCACGCTTTTCACAGAGGTTCTTTAGGAAAAAGCCATCCCCTCCTTTTAGTGGAAGAGCACAGGGAGGCAGGAGTAGCCTCCCAGGCTGCACAACTGGCCGTGGTTAGTGGGACCCAATGTCAGGGCACAGGTGGCCACCAGGGCCAGCCGATGAGAGCTGGTCCTCCCCCCGGCGCCAGTGCCAAGGTCGGCGGAGAGTTCCCTCCCCAGCCTTCAAAGACTGACTTGCTCCGGTCTTTCATTCATTAAAATAAAGCCAAGGGAGGACCATCTGAGGAGCCCTCCCTTCTCTTACCTGGATCTTGGACTCTGTAGATTCCGCAGAGATTTGAGCTTCATGGTCATCACATTCTTGGCGTGCAGGCTGCTGAGGGCTGTGAGGGCAGGGACAAGGACATGGCAGGGGGAGCTTGGAGGGGGCCTCCGCATGCCTCAGACTCGGGCCCTATTCTCGGGGTGTCGATAGGAGCTTTCTCCTTGCTGTTTCCCTGCTTTGAGCGAGGGTGGCTGTGCTGCAGTCGGGTACGGGAATTCGATTTAGAAACCACAACAGGGGAGTCCCAGGACACCTCCGTGCCTTACAAGCCACAGGAGAAGACAGCTGGAGTCAGGGACCTCCTGAGCCTGCAGCACTTCTGCGCCCAAGGGCCCAGCGCAGCAGCCAGGGCACACGGAGGCGAGTTCGCCCCCTGGAGCTGCCTCTGAAAAACCTCGACACTCGCTGCCTTCGGGACCTGGCCACTCGTTAGCCACTTCTTCACCTGCCTGAACTTCAACCTCTCTGTGCCTCTCTCACAAGTTCAAGGTCAGGTTCCCATGTGGTCAAGGAGCCCAGAATAGTGCCTGGCACACACAGGCCTATTCCCTCCTCTTTCTGCCACCCTCCCCAGCTTCCTCCTGAATGAGCCCCCCCCCCCCCAGCAGGCTCATGAGTGCCGTGAGAGGCGCCTGGCAGCCCCCGGCCAGCGGTCTCTGTCCAGAGGGAAGCTCCGGGACCCCGCCCAGGCAGGAAGGGCACTCAGGTGGGTACCTCTGTTCAGGTCCAAAGGCTGGGAGTCCTGCACGAGCCTGTAGTGGTGCGGCTCCCAGGTCACACTGGACGTGTAGAGTTTGGGGATCTGAATGCGTTCTTTGCCTCGGATGCCAAACGTCTCACAGGCTGCCTGGAAGACAGGGCAGACAGGTGTCGTAAGCCATCATCGTCACCATCGATGGTGACAACAGGGGACCCGTTGTAATCAGGGCAGGACACCGAGCCAGGTGCTTGTCCAATTCCCCTGCATGCCCATGTGACGGGCCATCGCGAAGACACAGCCAGGCCCAGGCTTGGCACCCCGTGGCTCCAGCTCTCATTACGAATGCTAACACTGATATCACCGGGTTATCCCATGCATACCGCAAAGGTGGTTTGATTGCTTATTGGTGTTCCTGATGTGGGATCACTTGGAGGCTGGGCTTTGGGACCATGTCTGCCCCACCCCAAACCCCCCAGGTACCCCTGCTGAGTGCAAGGCGATGAGTCAAGCAACAGCTGAGAGTGCAGAGGCCGCGGCCAGGCCCCTGGCTGTGCGGCCCCCAACCCCACCCCGGGGAAGTACCCACACACCTGGCAGGTGCAGCCCATCAGGTCTGTGCCAAGGGGGACTGACCTTGAAGGTCTGCACGGCCCAGCTGCGGAAGGCGTCCTCCTGCCCACTGAGCTCATCCCCTTCGCCGAGCGGGGCGAGCTGGGAGGCCCCCAGGTGGCACAGCTTCTGGTCAATGTCACGGGCAAAGGCGCAGAACTGAGGGTACATGCTGGAGCCGAGGCCGAAGACCGCGTACCTGTCCCAGGAGGTCACACACATGGAGCCTCACGCCCCAGGCAAGCAGCACCCAGCACCCAACAGCAACAGCCCAGGGGCAGGCCAGCCACACGCTCTCCCCTGCTGGCCCTCTCTGGCCCCAGCCCCTCCACCCTGGCCTCACCAAGTCCCCTGACCAGTGCTTGGCCAGCATACCTGTGGGAGGAGCTAGGCTCCAGGTGTGACCCTCAACACACCTGAGGACACACCTGAGCCCCAGGCTGTCTCTGTGCTGGGACTCTCCCAGATAAGCCCCTCTGCACACCCAGCTCCATCCCCTGCCCCAGGCTCTGGGGTGAGGAGCGGCTGTACCTGAACTTGTTGGTGAGCTCCTTCAGCATGAAGAGGGACCTCTTCAGTTTCTAGAAAGACAGAGAACAAACAGCCCTCAGTCCAGGATTCATATCTGCCCTCCAGTGGCCCACCTACAAGGCAGCCACATCCGGCAGAAGGCTGCTGGCCCACCGTGGACACCAGCTGCAGAGTGGGGCCGCCCGGCTGGGGCTCTGGTTGCCAGGCGACAAGTTCAATTTGTCTCTCCCCCAAATAACATAACATCGCAGTGGGAAAACATCTTCCTTATTTGTTATTTATTTTTTAAAGATTTGAAAGGCAGAGAGAGAGAGAGAGAGATCTTCTATCCACTGGTTCACTCCCTAAATGGCCATAACATCTGAGGCTGGGCCAGGCAGAAACCAGGGATCAGGAGTCTCATCTGGTCTCTCACATGGGTGTACTTGGGCCATCTTCCGATGCTTTCCCAGGTGCATTAGCAGGGAGCTGGATTGGAAGTGGGGCAGCTGGGACTTGAACTGGTGCCCATTTGGGATACCTGTGTTGCAGCCGGCATCTTAACCTGCAGTGCCAGCCCTATAATTTATTTTACTTTTTCTCTGTTCAGTTACCCTTTGTCCTCCTGAGCAGTAGGGAGACAATCTCAAATGGTGCTAACAAAGCCTCAACACCTAACACTTTCCCCATTAGGTTTTTTTTTTTTTTTAAGATTTTATTTATTTATTTTAAAGACAGAGCTAGAAAGAGGTAGAGGCAGAGAGAAAGAGGTCTTCCATCCACTGGTTCTCTCTCCAGATGATCACAACAGCCAGAGCTGCGCCAATCCAAAGCCAGGAGCTAGGAGCTTCTTCTAGGTCTCCCACATGGGTGCAGAGGCCCAAGTACTTGGGCCATTTTCTTTTTTTTTTTAAGATTTTTTTTTTTTTTATTTGACAGGTAGAGTTAGACATTTAGAGAGAGACAGAGAGAAAGGTCTTCTTCCCGTTGGTTCACCCCCCAAATGGCTGCCACAGCCGGAGCTACACCGATTTGAAGCCAGGAGCCAGGTGCTTCCTCCTGGTCTCCCATGCGGGTACAGGGCCCAAGGACCTGGGCCATCCTCCACTGCCTTCCCGGACCACAGCAGAGAGCTGGACTGGAAGAGGAGCAACCGGAACTAGAACCCAGTGCCATATGGGATGCCGGCGCTGCAGGCGGAAGATTAACCTAGTGCGCCACCACGTCGGATTGGGCCATCTTCTACTGCTTTCCCAGGCCACAGCAGAGAGCAGGATTGGAAGTAGAGCAGCCGGGACTCAAACCGGCACCCACATAGGATGCTGGCACTGCAGGCAGCGGCTTTACCTGCTACACCACAGTGCTGGCCCTCCCAATTACTCTTTGGGGGGGGTGGCTCTTTAAAAAAATAGGGGTGGTGGGCACTTGGCACAGCAGTTAAGTGATGGCTGGAGAGGTCCACATCCACAGTGGAACGCCTGGTCCGCGTCCTGGCTCCTCTGCTTCCTACTAATGAGTACCCTGGGGGACAGCAGGTGGTGGTCCAAGTACTTGGGTCCCTGCCACCCACATATGACACCTGGATTGTGTTCCAGGCTCCTGGCTTCGGCCTGGTCCAACCCCGACTGTGGGCAGGCATTTGGGGAGTGAACCAGCGGAAGGAAGATCTCTCTCTCTTCCCCTCTTTCTGTCGCTCTTTCAAAAAAAAAAAAAAATATATATATATATATATATAGCTCACTTACATTTCATTGAATTGACTTTTTGTCGATTTTCACTTGTGTGATTTTGATACCAGTTTCCTTTAAATGCCACTCTTTAAATACAAAACATGTCATAGAAAAGGTGCCATACGGGTGCTTGCGAAGCAGGCAGGCCAACGACTGGAGTGCTCCCTCCCAAGCCGAGTTCCGCCAAACCCTTTCCTGGGTCCTGCAGGGGCTACCTTGGGCCACCCACCTCTCCATTGCCGGGGGAGTCTCCATTGCCAAACGTGCTGGTCACCACCAGCAGCAGCTGCTCCCGCTCCAGGTTGCTCAGCTGGTATTCATCCATGCAAAGGACCTGCACAGCACCGAGGTGGACCTCAGCCCTCGGCTCTGGGGCAGGGCCCTCCACACCCTCCCCAGACGTCTTGTGCTCCCCTCACCCCTTAGGCTAGGAGCCCCTCATCACCTGTCTCCCCCAGGGCCCAGCACTGGGGGCCACAGAGGAAGCAAATGAACTGCCCTGACCATGAGTACCCTGGAGGCTCTGTCTCCAAACTGCATATTCCAAGTCAGAGCCACTCTCAGCCTTCCCACTGCAGCCCAAATCCTCCCTGGTGGATGCCTGTCCCACAAACACAACCCCGCCTGGAGGCCACAGCAGGTGCCACGTGCCATCAGCTCCTTTTCTCCCAGGCCCGCCTGACAGACATGTATCTGTCCCTTCCAGCCCCGGATCCCCGGAGCCAAGAGGCGTCACATGTACTCCTTGCCCAGGGCCATGTTTCTCCAGGCACCGCACTGGCCGTGCCATGTCCGCAGGACAGCAGGGTCACCTCTGTCTCCCAGAAGCCATGTGACCCTGGGAAAGCCACCTGGGCTGCCTGACCCCAGCTCCGTCCTCTGCACTAACAGCCACGTGGCCCTCCGCCTGCTCTGCAGGGCTGCTGGGGGCGTGCAGCGAGCAGCCTGCTGGTGCAACCTCAGAGCCCAGTGCTGGCCCAGCAGGTGGCCTTGGATTTCCTCCTCCATTGCTGGAGGCAGGGGCACGGCTTAGTCTCCTTGGAGGTTTAATTTGTCTGCGTCACGATCACTCCCCTCCTCACTCAGCCCCGCACCCTGCACAGAAGGGGTTCTGTGGATGCCAGTAAAACTCATCAGGAGCAGCTCGGGGGCACTGAGGCACGGCGTCATTAGAAAGCGTTTCTCCAACCGTGTCCCCAGGAACTCCTGGCTAAGTCTGAGAGCCCCTGCACACAGACCTATCCTCCTCGCAGATTTACGCTGCACACCGGCACAGCCCGGCTCTGGGACTTCCAGGAGCAGAGAAACCTGGACGGCCACATGCCCCGGCCGTCTGTGCACACCAGCAGAGGAAACCGCAGCAGCCCCGCCCAGCCAGGTACCGTGGGGTTGAAGGCGCAGCCAAACAAGTCGCCCAGGTCCCGGGCCAGCGCTTCCGACTTTCCCGTCTCCGTGGCAAAGAGGATGGTGGCCCTGACACGGACCGCCAAGGTCTTGCGCATCAGCACAGAGGCAAAGAGGGCAGTTCTGTGGGGACAGAGGGACAGGCACGGTGTGAGGAGCCCGCCACAAGGATGGGCAGGGGGCGTGGTGTGAGGAGCCTACCACAAGGATGGGCGGGGGGGGGGCGGGAGCATGGGAGGGGCACCGCTAGCTAACAGCGTGGCAGGCTCCCGACAAGGGGACCCAACGTTCTCACCAGCTCTGCGCCCTCACTGGCACTCTCTCCTCCCCAGCCCCCTTGGGGACAGAGAGGAGGGGGAAGGTTGGGGCAAGGGCAGCAGGGGATGCTGGGAACTCTGGGAGCCAGACTCCTGCCAGGTCCCCTGTCCTTGAGGCCTGGAGGCGGGGGCTGAGTGGAAGGAAGAGACGAAGGTGAGAGAGCGACGTACCTCCCCAGGACTCGGAACTGCAGCCTTCTCCTCTGGGGCTTCTTCTTCATGTCCTGCCACGCGTGGGTTTTCCACGCCTCTACCTGCAGCACAGAAGGGCCAGGTGAGGGTGGGGTGGGGTCCTGAAATGTGGGAGGTGGAGGACTCTCCCCACGTGAATGAGCTGGGGCTGTGTGCCCCCCTCCCAGTCACGTGCTGTCGCCCAGCTCACAGCCTGTGCGTCACAGGGTGCAGCTGGTTCTCTTACACTTCTTTTTTTTTAATGTATTTGAAAAGCAAAGAGACAGAGGGACAGAGAGAGCTTCCATCTGCTGGTTCACTCCCCAAAAGGCCTCAATGGCCAGGGCTGAGCCAGGCTGACGCCGGGAGCCCAGAGCTCCATCATGGTCGTCCACGTGGGTGGCAGGGGACTGAGCGCTTGGGCCATCTTCTGCATGAGCAGAAAGCTGGACTGGAAGTGGAGCAGCTGGGACTCAAACTGATAGAGTCAGCATCGCAGGCAGTGGCTTACCTGCTACACCACAACACCAGCCCCTCCCTTTCAAATAAATAAGGTGAAAGAAAGGGAAGAAGGCAGCAGGCAGGCAGCGCCAGCAGCCGGAGCTGGGGAATGACCGCAGGTGCTCCGACCGGGGTGTGGCGTCTCAGACTGGTTCCTGCCGGCTCCGGCAGCTGATTCTAGTGCTCACTAGGGTCCTGCAGGGAAGCAACTGTGCCCTCTTCTGCTTCCCATGCTTTAGCACAGGCACGCAGTGCACCCTGTAAGGTCCACACCTAACTGCCTTTAAACAGAACAGCAGGAGCTCCCTCAGCAGGCACAGCCGGCCCCGGGCCAACCAGCACACGCAGTCACCCCCCCTCACCCCCAACCCAACCCACATCCTCCGCGACACACGAGGAACCCCCTTCTGCCGCCCCAGCTCCGGCTGCCGGCTCTGCCATCTGGGCTGGGCCATCGCTCGCACGGTCCCCCGTGACCCACAGGTTCATCCCCCTCACTATTAGAGATGAGGAAACCAAGGCTGAGAAAGGTCAAGTGTGGCCAGAAAGAGGCAGAATCCGCAGAATCGGACCCGGTCTTTACGCTGGGTGACAGCCACACTCTCCCGTGGAAGCCAAAGCTTGTCAGAGGAACAGGTGCACACCCACGCCCACCGCCCGACCTGCGCCCTGAGCGCCCCCTACCTGGTAGTAGTAGAAAGGGGACAGGATGTAGTTGAGCATCTCCTGGTGGAACACGGGGGTGATGCTCCCGGACATCGGGGGGACCAGCCAGATCCAGTCGGCCGGGCAGCCGCCGCGCGAGCGGTACTCGTTCTGCATGTGCTTCATGAAGGACTCGGCCGCCGAGTGGTGGTCCATGATGGTCACGTTCCGCTTCTGAACCAGAGGGCAGCACGGTGGAGGGTGAGGTGGGGGTGGGGCGGCAGGGATGCCTCCCCGGTGGGGCTGGGAAGGCCTGGCCACCCGCAGCCTGCTGAGAATAAACGCCTACAGGCAGGGCCCAAGAACGACCACGGCAACAGGCAGCACGCAGCTTCCCCAGCCGCACGTTTCTGGATGTAGCTAACTCAGATCACAGTGCCTTCTTGCAGGTAATGAAAATACCACCCCACGGGGCTGGCACTGTGCAGCGGGTTACGCTGCCTCCTCCAATGCCAGCATCCCGTTTGGAGCACTGGTTCTGCTCCCAGCCATTCCACTTCTGAGCCGTTGCACCTAGGAAAGCAGAAGAGGATGGCCCAAGTGCTTCAGCCCGTCACCCACATGGGAGACCCGGATGGAGCTCCTAGATCCTGGCTTCAGCCTGGATCAGATCTGGGAGTGAACCAGTGCACTTCTCTCTCTCTCTCTCAGCTTTTCAAATAAGTAAATATTTAAAAAAAAATACCACCCCAGCCATTTGTGGAAAGTTCCAGGAGCTACGTCCTGGGGCTGAGGCTTCCTGGCCCAGGATTAGGCAGACACCTCTGTGGGGAGGTCTGAGCAGTGGGAAAACCATTGGACATGGAAATCTCCCACATCTAAAACCAGGAGCTGGGGTCTGAGCCACCTAGAAGGATCCAGCTAGGGCAGCCATGCCCTTCCGTGTCTGGGGCAACCCTTTCAGTGGAGAGACACCTGTTTACCATCATAGCCCCAATGCTGGCTTGAGCTAGTCCCAACATGACCTTGAGCTAGTCAGTCCGTAATATCCCCGAACCTCAGTCTCCTCATCTGTAATATGGGGCTCACAACAGTTCCTATGGGGGGCCAGCGCTGTGGACAGCGGGTTAAAGCCTTGGCCTGAAACACCGGCATCCCATATGGGCGCCAGTTCTAGTCCTGGCTGCTCCTCTTCCTAATGCCGCTCTCTGCTATGGCCTGGGAAAGCAGTGGAAGATGACCCAAGGACTTGGACCCCTGCACCCGCGTGGGAGACCCGGAAGAAGCTCCTGGCTCCTGGCTTTGGATCGGCGCAGCTCCGGCCATTGCGGCCATCTGGGGAGTGAACCCCTCTCTCTGTCTCTACCTTTCAAATAAATAAAATAAATTAAAAAAAAAAAAACAGTTCCTATGACATGAGGTTGTAGAAAGGATCCAGCGAGACGGCACAAGCAAAGTACAGCCCGTGCTCAGCAAACGCCGGCAGCCATTACTCCCATCTGTCAGTCACTGCCTAAGGCGCTGGCATGTCAGGGGGGGACACTGCCCCTTCTCTGCCTCAGCCCAACCAGGGGAAGCAGGAGGTCAGCCTTTGTCACGGGGCTGACGGCAGCGTGCAAAGGCTGCTGGGAGTAACAGAGGAGAGCCCCGCTGGGCAGAGGCCCTGGGGAGCGCCGGGCAGCGAGTCCTGAGAGCCGGGGACAAGTTGGCCAGGCAAGGGGCACTCTGGGACAGCACCAGGAGGCCCCGGAGGTGCAGCCACACCTTTTAAAATGTGACAAGCGCTCACACAGCATCAGGAGCATCTAAGCTCAGGAGCATCACCACGGTAACGATGGTACCCACACCACATCACCAGCACACCACGGCCGCCGCACACAGTGGGCACCCGGGCCAGCGGCACGCCTGCCATTGCGCATGCACCCGCATTTACTCGCAGCAACGGCCTAGCGAGCGGGGGTCTATTCTTAGCCTCACTCTGCAGGCGAGGAAATAAGGCCAAGCCCTTGGAAGCTTGTCCTGGAGGAGAGCCACGCGGAAGTCCTGCAGCCTCTGGGCACTGGGACGCAGCTGCCCGGGGCGGCAGATGCCCTGGGAGGGAGCTGCATCCTGCCGGCCCTCCCCTTCCTGAGGCAGGCCTGCACTTCCTGTTCCGCCTGCGCTCAGGCCCAGAAGCCCTGCCCCACGGAGCACAGGCTCCATCCGCCTCCTGGGTGATGGATCAGACACGGCCCCGTTTGCTCCTGGGCCCGGCTGAACAAACGTACAAACGACTGAACGACTCTGCCCAGTGGTTGAGTTAGCAGGCAGCTGCCAGCCCTGTAGAGAGGGCCCCAGCTTCCAAAGTCACGCCTTCCTGTGTTCCGCTGTCTTCCCGGGGGGGAAGGGAGCATTGATGTGAGTGGGAGCAGAGGGCTCCGTCCCACACAGGAGCCCGTCTGCTGTGTGTGGGCCCGAGAGGAGGGCCGCTCACTCCACACAGGGAAGGGGGAGCAACCCCTGCTCATGTGAGTGGAGCCAGCCCGGCGATGGTTTGCAGGAAGGAGGGTCTAGGCAGAGGGATAGGGTAAGTGCAAAGGCCCTGTGGTAGGAATCCTCTCGATGACTTTGAAAAACAAGAATTCCAGCACTACCAGAGGAGCAGTGGAGAACGAGAGCTGGGGCCTGGAGCGGCCTGGGGATGAGGAAGTGCCGCGAGATCTTTTGACAGTTTGGCTGTAAAGAGAAGCAGAAAAGAGACAGGAGCTGGAAGAAGCCTGGCCTCTGGGGGCAGGGATGTGGTTAGCTATGCAGTCCCTCCGTTGACTGTTGAGATGGGAGCTAGGACGGCCCCTCTGCACGCGGATGGGAAGGACCCAGCACGGACGGTGACCTGGAAGTGATTCCCTGAGCAACTGCGAGAGCACAGGACTCGGCGCCCGAGGGAAGCACCGGAGGCCTCGAGGGGTAAGGCGCTGCCTGGCGCTGCCCGGCTAGGGTGACCAGGAGCAGAAGGCTCACTGCTCTCACCTCCCAGCACCATGCCCGGTGTATACTGGGTGCACAATACAAGGGGGCTTTGTGAAAAAGGGAATGCAAAGCTAAGTCTGTTTGGGTGCAAAAAACTGGGGGATCCACGCATGATGTCTTCATGGCGTGCATTTCCCATGAACCCTTGCTGCCCCCTGCTGCTTCACACATGCGTGTGTGAACACTGCCCTCATGGGAAAGCCGAGGCCCTCGGCGAGCAGACGCACCTGGAAGCTGTGGAGCACGGCGATGTTGATCTCTGTGACGGCCTGATCTTTCCACAGCGACGCCAGCCTGTGCGTCTCCAGTCCCATCCTCCTGCCCACCTCCTGCAGACACAGAGTGATGGGGCTGAGGCCATCCCTGGGACGCACACCTGCAGCCAACCCGGCGAGGCGGCCCTCAGTACCTCCAGGATATTGTAGCGCTGGACGTCACAGAAGTCCCGGACTCCGATCTCTGTGCCCATGTACCAGCCGTTGAAGGGGCACGCGGGAAACTCGAGGCCGCCGGCCTCAAGCAGCATGTTGGCCACGGCAGGCAGGGCGTACCACTTCAGCTCCAGCTCCCGGAACCACTCGTACCTGGCGGGGAGGGAGAGCTGGCTGCAACGGCAGCCTTCATCTTTGCCCCCCACTCCCCTGCAGAAAGCTTCGGAAGAAGACTCGACCAAGAAAACGCCTTGCTAAGAGCTGATCTCAAAGTTCCTCTCCCTGGGACAGGTGCACTGTGGTCATTCATTCCCTCACATATCCCATGCTGAAGGCTGAGATGTTTTCTTTTCAGGAAAAGGAAGAGGGAGAGAGGGAGAGGGGGAGAGAGGGAGAGAGGGAGAGAGGGAGAGAGGGAGAGGGGAGAGAGGGAGGATCTTTCATCCTCTGGTTCACCCCTCAAATGGCTACAATGGCCGGTGCTCAGCCAGGACCTAGGAGCTTCATCTGGGTCTCTCATATGGATGCAGGGGCCCAAGCACTTGGGCCATCCTCTGCTGCTTTCCCAGGTGCATTAGTAAGGAGCTGGATGGGAAGCAGAGCAGCCAGGACTTGAACTGGTGCCCATATGGGATGCCGGCGCTGCAGATGGCGGCTTCACCCGCTCCACCACAGCACTGGCCTGAATGCTGAGATTCTAACATAACATGGTGGTTAGGGACTCGGGGTCAGCAGCCTGGGGTTCAGTTCTGCCTCAGCACAGCTAGTGGTGTGACCTTGAGTTTTTAGCCTCAGAATCCCCATCATCAAAACAGAGGTGGCATTAGCAAACTCACAGAATTATTATGAACATAATAATATCATTAATCTGTTTCACATAACTGAACACCTACTACGTGCCACACATCCTACTAGGTGTTGAGGATTCAAGAAAGGCAAGACTTCCAGCCTCTAAGGCCTTACAGTCTAGTGTCTAGACTCTGCAAAGGGAAACAAATAGGGAGACAGAAACAAGATGATGTGTCAGACTGAGAGCGAAGGTGCTTCCTTTCAAGATGGCCTTCTCAGAGAGGGTGGCCTTAGCAGGTGCCCTGATGGCCTTCTCAGAGAGGGTGGCCTTAGCAGGTGCCCTGATGGCCGTCTCAGAGAGGGTGGCCTTACAGCAGGTGCCTTGTTACAAGAAGAAATGACCTTTGCAAAATTCTGAGGACTGGGCAGGTGCGGCAGTGCAGATAGCCAGTGCAAAGGCTCAAGGTGGGACTGAGTTCAGAATGTTCAAGGGACAAGAGCCAGCCCAATGCCTGCTGGATGGCAAGTCTCAAGTAAGGAGGTCCTTCTGCAATCCCGTGTCCTGCCTGGAGGGGGGGTTGAGCCAGCTGAGCTCTTGAAGTCACTATGGGAGTGGGCATTTGGCGCAGCAGTGAAGACAACACTTGGGGCCCCACCTCCCATATCAGAGAGCCTGGCTCAAGTCCTGGCCCCGCCTCCAGTCCAGCTTCCTGCTAATGCACACCCTGAGAGGCAGCAGGTGATGGCTCAAGCACTTGGGTCCCTGCCACCCACGTGGGAGACCCAGATGCAGTTCCCGGCTCCTGGCTTCAGCCTGGCCCAGCCCCAGCTTTCGTGAGCCCTTGGAGAATAAACCAGCAGATGCAAGACCGCCTTGAGTCTGTCTCTCTGTATCTCTCTTCCATATATAAAAATGAAAATATATAAAAAATGAAATGAAATTCTTGAAAAAGGCAAACTCACTCTAGTCCTACGTTTGCCCCCAGCAGGCAGAGGGGCAGCTAAGATGGATGGCAGGAAGGCAAGAGGCCCGGGCTGCTCAGTTCAGGAATCTCAAAGGGTTCTGCCCCCAAAGTGACCATTTCCCAATCTTCTCCTTCTCCCCCACCCTCTCACCAACACATCCTCCTGCATCGGAGTCAGAGAGGCAACTGCAGGGCTGCCGTGGAACGGGGCGGAGGGGGGGCAGCAAACACGGGCCCTCGGCCTCACCTGCGGCTGCCTGGGCTCTGGGGGCGGGCCTGGGGTTGGACAGCCACTTGTGGCGGAGGCGCAGGCCCGCTGATTCACACCCCCAGCTCCCCCAGCCCACTCACTTGGGATGCTCCATGGGCACCTCGAGCACAATGTCAGCGGGGATTTCAAAGAGCTCGGGGTCCCGGCCGTCGGCCTGCAGGACCAGAGGCAGCACGTCGAAGCGGCCGAAATTGGGCTTCCAGCCCAGGTCGATGCACAGCTGGGGGAGTGGGGGCGAGACAGACCCAGAGAGTCACCTCCGGGCTCCAGCTGGCACCCACCACCGGGCTCCCAGCCCAGAGTCCCAGGGATGAGGCTGGGCCGGGTACCTGCGTGAACTCGGTGTTGGCTGGGTCCCCTTGGATGGTGCCGTCGGGCATGTGGTAGCCCGCGTACCGGATGAGCTGAGAGTTCCAGACTCGGAAGTCGTGCTTGCCGTCACTCCGCTGGGGGAACACGGTGATGGCGGACCTTCCCCGCACAGAGACAGTTGTTTAGCACCCAGTCCTGGGGGGACTCCCAGCCACCTCGCTGACCCTACCTGCCTCCTGCACCCAAGCAGCCTGAGCCAGCCTCTGACATCCCGCCCTCCTGCTCCCGCAAGCTCCTACCTTCCTTTAAGGCCAGCACAGGGGCCACCCTCTAGGGAGCCCTCCCAGCCCTCCCCACCGGGTGCCACGTCTCTCCCCTTGCAGTGAGGTTAGCTGGCCTTGCCTCATGCGAATTGTGGGTTTGCAGTGGGCTGGAGCAGCATCTTAAATGCTTGGTCACCTCCACAGGGGGGCACTGGATGTTTGCTGAACCCTTGACCCCATTAGCTGGGGAGGAAGGTAGGGCCAGGGGTCGAGCATGGTGGTAGAGACACACCCAGGAGCAGGGACTCTGTCATCTCTAAGCAAAACGCCGCACAGCACCACCTGCTGGAAGCTGACTCACTCTCCCCTCCAACAAAGTGAGGTGCCCTAACCCAGAACAGAGGCGAAGGATCCCCCAGCCTGCAGCAGGAAACCCAGGCACGCGCTGCTGGGGGGGTACAGCTAGTGGGACCAGGCTCGCCCTTGTCAGTCCCCAAACAAGCCTGAGTCCCTCTTTTTCTTTCTCCACGGTTTGCCTGGAGTCAGAGAAGCCTCCCCTAGACACAAGCGCATCCTTTGGCTGAGACTCGGGCGGCGCGAGCCCCGGGCATCCACCTGATGTTGCCGTTGTTGGTGGCGTAACGCAGATGCCTGCAGATGTGTTCAAACATTTCCTGTGCAGTGGAGCAGCTCCGGGCATCAAAGACCTGCGTACAGACCACGCCTGTCAAGGACTGCGGGGTGGGGGCGTCGCGAAGGGCCAGGGGCCACTGGAACTGAGTGCGCCGTGTATACCCAACTCCTCAACACCCAACATAACGAGGAGCGGGGCTTCCCCTCTCGGTACTGTTCCCAGCTCACGCTGGGTCCACCCCTTCTCCTGCTCTCCCAGGGGAGCACAAACAACTCCACTTGGAAGAACTCAGCAAAAATCAAAATCCCAAGAAAACACCCCGACTCAGGATTCCCACTACCCAGCCTGGTTCCTCTGCCACAGGAGCTCACAATATCCACCAGAGTTCATGTCTGGTCTAAGAGCTTTTCATAATATCCAACAGTTAAGAATCCCCCAATGAAAAGATGGCCCAGGCAGCTAGGATAAATAAAATGTTATCTCGGAGCCACGAAATAAATAAAATGTTATCTCGGAGCCACGAAATAAATAAAATGTTATCGAAATAAATGTTATCTTGGAGCTACGAAATAAATAAAACGTTATCTCAGAGCCACAAATCCAAACCCTAGACCTAAACAACCTCTCTTGCCGCACCTGGGCCCCCAGAAAAACAAAGTTATGGAGCCAAGTGCTGTGGTGCAGCAGGTTAAGTTTCTATCTGCAGCACTGGCATCCCATATGGGCACCAGTTCAAGTCCCACATGCTCCACTTCTGATCCAGCTTCCTGCTGATGGCTTGGGAAAGCAGCAGAAGATGGTCCAAGTGCCTGCACCCTGGCAACCACATTGGGGACCTGGAAGAAGCTCATGGCTTCTGACTGTGGCCTGGCCCAACCTTGCTGTTGTGGCCATTTGGGGAATGAACCAGTGAAAAGTCTCTCCTCTCTCTCTCTCTCTGCAACTCTACCTTTCAAATAAATGCTTGGAGCAGGCCACCCAGCCCCCTGCGTGGGGCACGCAGGACGCCCACCTGCAGGTTGGACCACTGGATCCTGCCGATGCAGCGAGGGGCGTTGCGCCAGGCCTGCTTGGTGGCGAAGATGAGCTCATCCCCCGTGAGCTGGTAGGTTCCTGTTGTTTCTATCTCCTTTGTGACCGCTTCCACCCTGGCCAGATGTGCCTCTATTTTTGCCCTGGGGACAGGAAGACGTTAGAAAGATCAGCAGAGAGATAGCCTAACATGGGGATTAATTCAATGCCCAGAAGCAGGAGCTGAACGAGGCCACCAGGAGGGCCAGCGGTCAACTGCCCCGAGTTCTGATCCCATCTGAACACAAGCCTGGGTCTTCACATTAACGCAGGGTCCTGCCGGCCTCGCTGCTGGCCTCGCGCCCGCCGGAACACTGCTGTCCCCGGGCGTTTTGCCGTAACCATTCAGTTCAGCAAGGTTGTTAGTTCTCTACTAACAAGGCGGAGAAACGTCTCTGCACACCACAGCAGCGTCAAGGGCGTACCTGCCCACCTCGCCACGCCCATCCCCGTGCACTGACAGTCACCGGCTCTGGACAGAGCAACTCTGTGTGTGAGGAAGGCATTTCTGGGTCCATTTCAGAATTTAGGATCTCAGGACTCCGAAGGTTAGGCAGCAGGCCCAGGCTCCTGACGTGGTGAAGAGCAACACTGGCCCTTGACCCAGTCCCGGGATCCCCCCGACGTTGGGCCCAGGCTCTTAGCTGCCTGCAGTGTCACCTTCTACCTTCCAGCCTAGGGGCTCTGTGAGCCCAGGGCATGCAGGGATGTGCTCAGGGGACAGCTCAGGCCCACACAGGGCCTGGGGTGGTCAGGACTCAGGCCTGTGGGGCCTCCATGAGCCTGCCCAGGGAGGAGCTGCACAAAACTCCTAGATTTGCTTTTCCCTCCATTCCCAGACTTTAGAAATATCCCAAAGGGAGGGACTCTGGTTTTGAAACACACACACACACATAGCAACCTTGAGATTTCCAATCAGCACCAAGGCAACAAGCAAAACCGTTGAAGGGATCAGCCCCTGATTAGCGACAGCAGACACCCGGAACAAAACAGCCTTTCTGGGACGAAGGGTGTCTCGGCAACTCTCCCTTGATTAGAGAAAAGGGCGCAGAGACAAAACACCCGGCCGCATTCAACGTCAAGGACACTGGCTGCCTGCAGGAGGGCGGCAGAGGTTGGTGCCTCTCCCGGCGGCAAGCCCTCCCTCCCCAGACAAAACTACGAGCTCCGCTGACGGTGTCCATTAGCCCTGAACAGAGGAGCAGTGGCTCTCGACATCTAGATCGGCACGCAGCGTCAGCAAGTCCCAGCCTCTAGGTATACTACATACACCGTACTTCTTCCTCCACGAAGGCGACCCGACCGGCTCGGCAGGCGGTGGCCTCGCTGTGGCACAACACAGAGCCGGCTGCCATTCGTCTCTCAGGAGGTCCCCATGTGGACGAGGGGACTCCAGGAAGTTTGTGGAAAATAGAATGAGAAGACAAGCTTATTTCATGCAAAAAAAAATCCCTTGATATCTTTCTACAGCGTTTTTCCCTTATATGCATTCCCATGAATGCTTTGGAGACCCGGTGAGTCTGTGGATTTCCATTTGTTTCGCACCGACAGGAGCTTATCACTCAGCTCCGGTCTCCGCGAGCTTCTCAGCGCTGTGACCGTGACACCCAGGACGTCCCTCTTCATCCTCACCAGCACAGCCCTGTGGCCTCCCTGCGTCCCTGAAGCCCGCCCTGGGGGCCTTCCTCACATCAGCAAAAAGCGCCGTGCTCAGACACTGCGATCAAACGCAAAGGTTCTGGGGCCCGCTGTCGGGAGCACGTGACTTCCGGGAAGTTCCATCTCCGCAGACTTCCCTGGCCCTGCCTGTGAAGTGGGGCTACTAGGAGTGTCAGCCTCCTGCAGCCGAGGGGGCGTCTCCTGGAAGAGACTCACACCCGGCTCTGCACACACTCACTGCTGAGCACCTAAGAAACAGGATGGGGCCCCTCAAGGAAAATCTGCACCCCAAGGATGGGGAACTTGGTGGTCCACAGACCCCTCATGTAGAAGCACAGTGGGGGCGGGAGGGGGGCTCTGCATAGCGCAACGGCCTGGAGAGTCTCAGGACATGGGTGTCCACCTGCCCGCCCCCAGCCCCCCACCTCCCCAGGGTCCAAGGCCCTGGGCCCTGGCATCCGTACCCTGCAACCTCCCCAGGCGTCTCCTGTGCAGCCCTCCAGGTCCTGCGAGGGCCGGGCCTCCTTCCAAGACCCCCAGGTCCCTGCCCACTTCCCAGGGAGAGAGTGAACAGCAGGTGGTGTCACCAGGAGCCACATCCACCCTCGGGTCCCAGGTCCCCTTCCGTGGCTCATCCACTTCCTGTGAGGTGTCCCACGAGGCACGCTGCCTCCCAGCCTGTCAGCAGCGAGCCCGCCGCCTCAGCCGCTCCTCCTTACCCTCTCTTAGCGCACTTTAAAACCAAAGTTTCTACAACAGGGGCCTAAATTACATGGTCACATATTTGACTTGGGGCCGGTGTTCTCACACACTTGGCTCACTGCGGCCAGGCACCGTCCCTGGCACTTTGCAGATGCTATCTAACTCGCTTCATCCAGATCGTGGAGGTATGTCATTGTCACCATCTTCAGATAAGAAAGCTGAGGCCCAGAGAGGTTAAGTCACCTGCCCCAGGTCACTCAGCTCATGTCAGCATGGCTAGGATTCAAACCTGGGAAGGCTGCCTCCAGAACCCTCCTCTTAACCACTATGCCATGGCCCCTCCCTTCTAACCACTGTGCTACGGCACCTCCCTTCTAACCACCATGCCATGGCACCTCCCTTCTAACCACTGTGCCGTGGCACCTCCCTTCTAACTACCGTGCCATGGCACCTCCCTTCTAACCACCATGCCATGGCACCTCCCTTCTAACCACCGTGCCATGGCACCTTCCTTGGGGGGATTAAAATCATGCATTTGGCAACAATAAAACTGGTGACTGACAATTAGAACTCTATGTTCTAAGGCTGGAACACATCTGGTGCTTCATGTCTGTCTGTCAATTGAATGACTGATTGACCACAGAAATGAAGGAAACCCAGCAAAGGAAGCCGACCTCAGCAGCGTGGAACCTCCAGTCAGGAGGCCCAGACCTTCGCTGGGATTTGGGGGCCTCGGGGACATCACTGGGCTTCCAAGTCTGCCCCTGTAGGAGCAGGGTTCACTACATGGTCTGCAAGGACTGTCTTTCTCCAGCATTTCCTAAGATCAGGGTCCCTGTTTGTTCTTCATCAAGGTTACCAGGTGCCAGAGCGCTTAACTGATCCTCGCAACAATCTTACGAGCCAGGGTGCATTCCTAGCCCATTTTACAGATGAGGTAGTTGAGGCACAGAGAGGGTGCAGAGATCTCCCAAGGATTCACAGTGGTTAATGGTGGGGCCTTACACCTGCACTCCTGCCCGTAACCACTGCGGCCACACCCCACTCTATGGCACGAGTAGGAGGGGCTAAGCCCTGGAAGCACTGTTACCGTGGGGGAGGGAAACTGCCAGACACCACAGAGCCTCCGGCAAGAGGGGAAGCAAGCCTTACTCTTTGAAGGAGCCGTAGTACTGGTTGACAAACTCGATGGCTTGCGGGAGCAGCTCTTCCGCAGGGGTGGGCCTGTCCCGGGGCCCTCGGATCATCTCTTTGGGGTTCATGACGGCCCCCTGGCAATAATGGGACTTGCAAGTGGAGTCCTGGAGAGAGAGGGGCAGGCGATGAGAGCAGCCCATCGGCCCCCCAGCCCTGCTCCCTACATGGCCGGCTCCTCTCCTGCTGCTCTGGCTCCCTGCGCCTCCTCCTTGGAGCCCACTGGGTTTTCTCTTCCCCTCTACTGGCTGAGCCCTAGAAGCTATGAGCCAAGGCCGTCCCCCCACCTACAGCTCGGCCCCTGGGAACGTCTCATCGGCCTTCTCATTTAAAGAGTTGGATGTGGCTCCTGTGGGAACAGGATTTTGGTACTCAGCCAAAATGAACTGAACTGACAGAATCCAAAATCCCAAAGTCACAAGGTAGCACAGAAAAAATACTGGAAGGAAGTACATCCCATTGTTCTTGATATTTTTGATTCTTTCCCATTTTACAAACACAGAAGGCATTCTAAAGTGAGAACAAGAAATGTAGAAGACAGGAAGGAGCCTTAAAGGACATTTGGTCCCACCACTCCAAGGATGCTGGGACCCTCCTGCTGCCTCCCTGTCAGCCAGCACTGGACACTTTCCAGTGACAGGGACCTCACTCCCTTCAGGTGTAGTTCCGTCCAACTTCGGGTAGTTCCACTGGGAGAGTCCCTGACACGGTGCTGAAATCTATTTGTTCCTGTCATTGTCCATCTGACCTCCCGCACCACCACCATCCCCTGGCGTGGTTCACAGGGAGCTGGCATCGGTGACCCCCATGATGTCAGGCTCTGTCCCCAGCACCCTCTCCTGAGCAGATGCCCAGGGGACACCTGCTGGATCCACAGTGGGTCCTGCCGGGGCACACACCGCTCACCTCTTTGGCCTTGAGGTGCAGAGTGTCTTGCAGAGTCATCCCACTGCCCCAGTTTCTGATTCTCACGTGCCGTGGGCAGGCCGATGGGGGCACGTCCTGCTTGCCAGGAGATTCTGGAGACTTCTGAAAGAGGGGAAATGCCAAGATTTTCCAAATGCCTGCAACCCTGGGGCTCCTGTGTCTCCTCCAGGCCCCTGGCCCTGCTTTGGCTTGAGTGGGGTGGGGAGCACGGGGCCGGGTATCCGTGCCTGTCCCTCCTGCCTTCCCAGCAGCTGGGCCACTTGGGCCAGTGCCCGTGGAGCGCTCCAGGTGCCTGGGCAGCTGGCCAGACTTCTCTCCTCGCCAGAGCCCTGCCAAAGGCTTCCACAGAGGAGCTGCACCAGGGGAGACTTGGGTCAGACAGAGGGAAGCCCATGGCCATAGCCAGTGCTGCCAAGAACCGAGACCAGCACCGCAGCCGTCCTGCCCCAGAAGCCTTTACAGACGTGAACTCCATCTTCCGGCCCCCTCCCTCCCATGTCTCTGCCCACTTCTCGGGAACACTCCGGGTGGAAAGCACTGAGGGGGACAGAGCCGCTGCAAGAGGAGCTGGCGGCTGGACTGCGGCTCAGCTGCAGAGTCTGGACTATCCGGGAACGTTCCATGAACAAATCATCTTAGTCCCCCTGGAGGTCATCCAGGCGCCCGTGCACTGCTCACCACCCGCGGCTGTCCCGCTCTCACAGAGCCTGTGACCCGGGCTCTCGCTCACTCCCAGACCCACCTGCTGTGCTCAGCTGCCTCGCCTGCACCTGCCGAGGCCAGGGGGGAAGGGGCTTCCCAGGCCCGGGTCGCTCACTGACCTTTGCTGTCGCTGCCGGGGGCTGGGGGGAGTCATCTTGGTGCTTGCTGAGGCTGTGACACTTGGGGTCATCCTGTGTCGCTGGGCTGTGAAAGGAAACAGCTATCATGAAATGGAGCATGCACATGGGGTGGAGGGGGAGCTCCTAGACCCCCCACCAGCCCCCTCATTGGGCAGATGCGCGAACTGCCGTGCACAGGGTGGGGGAGAAGGATGTGGTGACCACTCTTCCCCCAACCCCTTTCCTCTACTCCACCGACAAAACCATAAAGATGGGAGGGGGGCTGAGTGACAGCTACGGACCCAGACAGCCGCCCATAGCCATGCACGGGGCGAGGTGGCTCCGTCAACTCTGCCCTCCCAGCCAAGTGACTCAGTCTTCCTTATTGAAACGCTTCCCTTTCCTTGGTTCCTGTGCTCCGTCTACATTTTTATGATGCAAAGCGACATACAAAGTAGAGGGAATACAGTAAGAAGCCCCATGGGTCCTCCACATTCAATCCACTGGTCACCAGCCCTGGCAATCTTGTCTCAACTTCAGCGTGCCCGCCCCCACTTTGATTTTAATGCAAATTGAAGACATCATGTCATCTTTACTGAGAAAAGTATCTCACTACAGAACACTTTCAAAGGACGCTGGTGCCGCTTTCCACACAGGTGGCCCCTATCCCGGGGCCCATTCCAGCGCCGCCGCTCTGCTTCTCACTGGGCTCCCTGCTAAGGCGCCACGAGCAGCAGCTGATGATGGCACAAGGGCTTGAGCCCCTGCACCCACATGGGAGACCTGTAACGAGTGCCAGGTTTCTGGCTCCGGCCTGGTCCAGTCCCTTGCAGTTATTTGATCTTAACCATATCTGATCTAAAGAGTGCAACGGTCCCAGCGCTGAAAAGAATCCCGAAAGCTCCCCCAGGGCTGAAACATACACAATTCAGCCCGCTTGGCTGCTCCTCAGCCAGCAAACTGTGCGAACCTCATCCCGGGGCTCCCACAGAGCCGGAGCCCAGCCCTCCCGCGTTCTCCCCGAGGGTCGGACGCACGCCCGCGGCGAGTACCTGGCTTGGCTCGGGCAGCAGGAGGGCTTCGGCCGCAGAATCCTGCGCAGGAACCGCCAAAGCCGCGGCCGGGCGGCCTCGCACGCTGCGCTCAGCCCCTCACGCATGGTCCCAGCACTCGCTGCTGCAGGTGAACGCGCTCTCCCCTGTGCCCGCCCCTTTATCCTGCCCGGGACCCTGCTGCCCCCGCCCCGGGGCGGGGCGAGGCGGAGGAAAGGCCCGCAAGCGGCTGCCCCCGGCGCCCGGGGGGATGCCCCGGAGACCGCGCGCCCCCTGCCCCGCACTCGCCACACCCTGGGGGCTGCGGCGTGGGGTCGGAGCGCGGCGCCATTTGGACGTCTGTGCACCGCCTCCGGGCTGGAGCCAGGGATGTTTATCCGACCGCAGGAACCCTGCAGGTTTCCACTGCAACTCCCGGTGTTCCCGAGGAAACTTCTATCTGCTCCTGCATCAGCCGCTGGCTGAGACGCGCGCAGAGGCAGTGCTACCGTGCGCTCTCCGCTTCAGTGAGACGGAAACTGGGGTCCCAGCCAGTGGCTGCAGGGTCCCAAGGTGCCCCAGCTCTCTGCACCTCAAGGCCCCCAGGAAGTGGTGTTTCTTTCTTGCACACCTGCATGATTCCAGGAGAGCAAACCAAAGAAAGCAGGGGCCGGGGGTGACTTCCAGTGAGAAGCAGAAGGGTGTGCAGCTTGGGCCAGAAGCTGCCTCCAGTCTCTTGCAGGGGTGTGTTTGTGCTGCCTGGAGGGCACAGGCCTGGTGTCCTTGCTCTATCTATAAATCGCACCTCACATTCCCAGCACCCTGAGTGATAAGCTCCAGCCCCAGAGGGCCCTCTCGGCATTATTTCAGCCCCATAAGTCCCCAGTGCGAGCACTGGTGGGATGAAGGCAAGTGTTTACTCCAGGCCTACTGCTACCAGACAGTTCCTGCCGCTTCAGCTAGGTGTTCCCAGCTGTCTGCCTTCCTTGCCAAAACACACACACACACACACACACACACACACACACCATACCTGCTTCCTAATCCGGTGTTTACATAAAATATAGACCCATCAGTCCTTACACTGGGATGTTGGTCTTACTATGCCTGAAGAGATCTGAAAATTGCTTTGTGAAATAAGATGTTATTAATCGGCCCCCATTGCTTTCAGGATAAAATCTGTGCAGCTGCTTCCTTTTCCAGGGCTGGCCTCACCGCCCTCTTGGCTGGACTGTTGCAGCCCTGCAGGGCTCCAGGAAGTGCTGTGGCGTCCCCAAACTGGGACGCTGGCATCCCCCCACCCCCTGCCCCTGTTGGCTGCTCCACTTCCGACACAGCTCCCTGCTAAAGGCCTGGGAAGAGCAGTGGAAGACAACAGCCCAAGTGGCTCGGCCCCTGCTACCCATGCGGGGAATCAGATGGAGCTCCTGGCTCCCAGCTTCAGCCTGGCCCAGTCCTGGCTGTCGTGTCCATCTGGGGGGAAACCCAGCAGATGGAATATCGGTCTCTTCTTCTCTCTGTAATTCTTTTTTTTTTTTTTTTTTTTTTTTTTTTTGACAGGCAGAGTGGACAGTGAGAGAGAGAGACAGAGAGAAAGGTCTTCCTCTGCCGTTGGTTCACCCTCCAATGGCCGCCGCGGCTGGCGCACCACGCTGATCTGAAGCCGGGAGCCAGGTGCTTCCTCCTGGTCTCCCATGGGGTGCAGGGCCCAAGCACCTGGGCCATCCCTCACTGCACTCCCAGGCCACAGCAGAGAGCTGGCCTGGAAGAGGGGCAACCGGGACAGAATCCGGAGCCCCGACCGGGACTAGAACCCGGTGTGCCGGCGTCGCAGGCGGAGGATTAGCCTAGTGAGCTACGGCGGCGCCGGCCTCTCTGTAATTCTTACTTTCAAATAAATAAATCTTTAAAAAGAAGAAAGTCACCCCACCCCACCCCGCCCACTGCATGCAACAGCGAGTCCAGGTATCTCCCCAGAAGAGGCGCCAGCGCACACGCCGGAGAAGCTCCTGTCTGCTTCTCCCTCCCCCTGCTCGGGACACCACTGTGTCCTCCCCACCCCAGCAAGAAATTCCCCAGGAACGGAACGGTTTGGTAGAAGTGTGAGAGGTACCTAGGGAAAACGAAGCCCCAGCAGGCAGCCCAGTATTTCACACCACAAAGCCCCGCCCATGCTTCACAAGAGGTCCCAGCCTTCCCTCCAGGAAGGCTCCTTAGGGGAAATCCCCTCTGCCCAGCACCAGGTGGGCTACCCAGGCTGCTAACACTGGGCAAACAAAACCTTGGGAGGAATTCCACCTGCTTCCACCCAGCAAAGCCTGTGTCCAGAAGAGGGGGTGGGGAGGGAGGAGCCACAGCATGAACGCAGACTGCACCAGCCCTTTCCTGAGATGCCCGCTGGCCTGTCGGGTGTATTTTAGCACTCAGCTCTCTCTGGTCTTTGCTGAGGCACCGCCTGGCCTGTTGAGTGTATTCTCTCCACCAACCGCGTGTCCTTGCCCACCCCAGTCTGAACGGCCAGGGGGCCCACCCGTGCTGATGATGCCCTACCCACTGAACCTTGCTACCTTGCTCACCACTGCTCTTGTCTCATACCTGAATGCTTTCTTGAGCGAAGACAAGCACCCATCCCACCCATCTCTGCTAACAGAACTGGGGCTTTTTTCCCTGTCCCCTTTACAGCCCAGTACATAGTAGGCCCTCAGGGAGAGACCACAGAAGCTGGAGGGCATGACTTTGAACATGGTTCAAACCTCAGCTCCGTCACTTTCTAGATGCTGGCCTTGAGGAAGTCACTTCGTGGACCAAGGATGGCGACCGCTCCTGCCCCACTGACAGGGGAGAAGGCCACTCTCAATGCTGCCATGCTCTTTAGCAGCAGTACAAGCAATGAACCATGGCGCCAGCCATTCACGGATAAACAGAAGGGCCGTGTTGACCTCTGAACTCTCAGCACCGTGTTTTGAGGAAGCCCCGCCTGTCACTGTCGTGGAAGGGAGCGTGCCCAGGACCAAGACGGAGCAGGACCACGCCGAGTGGTTCTGAGGCAGACGGCCCAGCTGTGAATCTGGCTGTCATTCGCTAACTCTGAGATCTCAAAAACAACTGAAGGTTCCCAGCCTTCAGTGGGCTCCTCTCTAAAGCAGGAAGATGACAAAAGACCCTCCCTCGTGGGTTGCTGGGAGGCCTAAGGGAGACCTAATGTGTGGTTACTTCCTCGCCATCACCTCTGGTATCTGATTGGAACCTTCCCACTGGCACAGCCCGGTGCAAAGAAGGACAAACAGATCAGTGTGGCTGATGCGCCTCAGGTCCCTCTGCACTCAGGACTCAGGGGTCCCGCGTGGGTGTCGGGAATGGTCGGCCATGCTGTTGGGGGGTAGGATTCAGACCAAGGCACACACTATAAGGGGAGGGCTTGAGATGGTCTGGAAGGGTAGGGTTGCGTTGGGTCCGGAGGATAGGTCCAGGGAGAAATGAGCCGTGCATGCTCACTGGAAGCCGAGGAGGCTGTGCTGGGCCAGGGGGACGTGGCCTGTCTGGGGAGGGTGGCCACAGAACCCTGCAGGCGGGCAATGGGAGCCACTGTGGACGCCGGAGCAGGAGCATGACTTGCGAGAAGTCACGTCGGAGGCAGAGGGGTCCGAGTGAGTGTGGAGGGCTGGAACTGGGGCACCGGCCGGCCGGCAGGGGCTGCAGTGCTGAGGCTGCTGCCGTGTGTGTACGCTCAGAGGCCACCCGACCCTGTGTTCTCAGATTGCCTGGGTCCAACATTCTCTCCTCTGGCTCGCCCCGCACACCACCCAGGAGGCTCCAGCTCAGGAATCTACAGTGGCTCTCACTGCCAAGCCCAGTGGGTCGAAAGCCCCTCCGCGCTCCGGCCTTGCTTCTCTGTCCCAGCCCCCAGCGGCGTCAGGCTCGCTTCTGCCTCTGAGCCTCTGCTCCTCCCCACCCCTCCCTGCAACGTCTTTGCTACTTCTCTCTCCACATTCGCCCACCCATCAGACACTGCCGAGCCCCCTCCCTGCTGTGGAGCGCTCAGAGGGGACTCTGGGATGCTACTCAGCGCCACCCTTGCTGCCACAACTCAGGCAATGGCGACAAGCACAGCAGATGCTCTGTGCCGGGCCCCGTGTGAAGGTGTGTACCTGGGAACCCTCACTCCATCCTGTCCACGGCTCCCAGAAATGGGCGTAACCATCCTCTTCTCACGGATGAGCAAGCTGAGGCTGAGAGAAAAACTAGGGCACTTGCCAAAGGTCACGGGGCCATTAAGCGGCAAAGCCACTTGCTTCTCCCTGTGTTCATGCCCTTAACCATAATGGCTTCCTGCCACCTGCGCCAGCTACACTCCAGGCTCATTGCCTATCTGTGAGAGGTAGCCCTGCCCAGGGTGGTGGCTGGGAGATGCTCCCTTAGGCCTGGGTGGTGGCCCTTGAGATTGGAGCTTTGGTTGCCTTCACAGGCTCGTGTTACTGCAGATTGACAGGGCTTCTCGCATTCTCCGTGAGCCGTTCACCCACTGGGCCATTGATTAGCTCCCTGGTGTCTCAGGCTTGGTTTTACAGACTGGAGAGTGGAGGCAGGAAGAATCCACACTTTGGGTTCAAATTCCAACTCTGTGATTACCAGACTGCCACCTGCCACCTCGGGGCAGGGGTTCAATTGAAATGCAAAGGATGCCAACTGCCCTGTGTGGTCCTGGCACAGGGTGGGCACCCAACTGATGCTAACGAACCTCACTGTTTATGGAGTGCTTGCATTGTGCATCTCATTGCATCCTCAACAACCCCCTTGGGGTCCTCATCCTGCCATGGTCGCATCGGGAGCTCAGAGAGCTTCCTTCTCCCCAGCCCACGCAGCCAGTGAGACAGTGCGTGAGCAAGCCCACAGGGCTTGGATAGAGTTTGCCTAGCACCCCGTACGCTTCAGTGGACTGATGTTCCAAATATCTAACCACCACGGGAGAGACACTCACACTGGCAAACCAGAACAGACGTGGGCCACGAGGCTGCTGGGGTCCAACGCCTGCCTCCTGTTCCCACACTAAGTCCCTTCCCCCAGAGATCCCAGGGCCAGCCCTGTGCCTTGTCCCTTCTCTGCGTAGTGGCTGCAAGGTGCCCAATGCAGAGCAGCTGCGTCAAATCCCACAGAGATAGCCAAGAAGCAGCGCTGAGATCAGAGCTCAGCGGTGAGATCAGAGCTCACGTGGAAGCAATTAGCCCTCAGGGAGCCCAGAGCGGAGCGCAGGGGTTCTGCGTGAGCGGCATGTGCACGCGTGCACACGCAGGCAGGGGGCGGGGAAGGGGGAGAGAGCAGCCCGAGGCGGCAACCAGGCACTTACCTGCAGAGCTCACTGGTGCCTTTGCCCACGTTGTTGTTGATGTCCTTTTCCTCTGTCAGGTCGTATTGCTGGGATCTGGCCTTGAACAGAAACCTCCAGGGACAGGCCATGGCTGCGCCTACGTAAAGCAGGCCCCTTATCTGGATTCGAACTCAGATGTTCTCTGCTGGGGGCTGAGGAAGGGGCAGGATCTGTGGGGGCAGGATTGGAGAGCGGCTTTCAGAACTGCGCCATCTCAATGTGGCTGCTTTCCCAAAGAATCAGGAGGAAGGGGTGGGCATTTGGCCTAGCGGTTAAGACGCCAGGAGAGACATCTACCTCCCATATCCGAGTGCCCGGGGTTCGAGTCCCAGCTCCTGAGTCTAGCCTCCTCCTAATGCGGGCCCTGGGAGGTAGCAGATGATGGCTCAAGGTGGTTGAGTCCTTGGGAGACCTGAATTGAGCTCCCAGCTCCTGGCTCTGGGCTCCAGGCTTTGAAGGCACTTGAAGCCTGAACCAATGGATGACAGCTCTCTCTGCCTCTCAAAGAAAAATTATAACGAGCCAGAAAGCTGGTGTAAGTCCTGTGCAGGCTGTTCAGAAGTGCTTTGCATCCTGTGCTCCTCGGTGGGGGCCCCTGGATGAAACCCCGAGTCTGCAGGGCTGGGGAACCAGCAGGAGGCAAGCAACGGCCCGCAGCACCAGCGGCATCTCCAGCGGACACGGACGGGCCCTCGGCCCTGCGGGACCTCCTTGGAGGGACCCACTAGCTCAGCTGACCTGGGCAAGACTCATCACTGGTCCAGGGCAGGGCGGGGAGGGGTCAGCTGGTCACCTGGAACATGGGAAACGCGAGCACGCAGGCCCGGCCCCGCGGGGCAGCTTCCAGCAGCCGCCGTGGCCCCCCCTGCTCCTGGGGGAAGCATTCAGGTTGCTGGTCCCATTCTCAGATTGTGCAACTGCGCATCGATACCAGTCAACAATACTTCCCATTCCTTTCTTAGTGTTCAGGGGGAAATGATCAGATGTGGAAAAATGCACTGCACTCTCAATATTTAAGATCACTTCCTTTTAGAAAGACAAGAGGTAGCCCAGGCCTGGACAGGGCCTGCTCACAGCAAACCTTCTTATTGGGAAACTGGTTCAGCAGGGAAGCAGTGCCAGAAACACCACACCGGGATCTGAGAGCCCCATTGACCTGGGTTCAAATCCCAACTCTCCTAGTTACTCAAGCTGGGTCCAGTGATTTAACTGGATTGCATTTCATTTCCTTTCATTTCTTCATCCATAAAGCGCCCTTGATAATAACCATCTTAGGGGTTGGTGGCACAGTGGGTTAAGCCACCACCTGCAATGCCGGAATCCCCGACTGCCAGTTGGAGGCCCGGCTGCTCTACCTCCAATCCAGCTCCCTGCTAATGCGCCTGAGAAGTCAGCAGAAGATGGCCCGAGTGCTCGGACCCCTGCCGCCCGTGTAGGTGACCTGGATGGAGTTCCTGGGTCCTGGCTTTGGCTTGGCCCAGCCCCAACCATTGAGGTCATCTGGGGAGTGAACTAGCAGGTGGAACACCTCTCTCTCTTTCTGTCAATCCACCTTTCAAATAAAATAAATCCTAAAAACCAAAAATCCTAAAAACAAAATACCCATCTTACCAGAATCTGTTCTTTTGTAGGAAAGGGTGTTGGGGAGGGGGAGGTATATGCTATAGGAATCAGGTAAGATAACCTATGTTTAAAAAAAGAAGTTTTGGGGCGCACTAGGTTAATCCTCTGCCTGTGGCGCCAGCATCCCATATTAGTGCCGGGTTCTAGTCCCGGCTGCTCCTCTTCCAGTCCAGCTCTCTTCTGTGGCCTGGGAAGGCAGTAGAAGATGGCCCAAGCGCTTGGGTCCCTGCACCAGCATGGGAGACCAGGAAGAAACTCCTGGCTCCTGGCTTCGGATCGGCACAGCTCTGGCTGTTGCGGCCATTTGGGAAGTGAACCAATGGCAGGAAGACCTTTCTCTGTCTCTCTCTCTCACTGTCTGTAAACTCTGTCAAATAAATTAAAAAAATTTTTTTTTAGCAAAATCCCCACCCACTCCCCATTCTGAATTTTCCAGAAAGTTTTTTCTTCTTAATGCAGCATCCACAACCAACATCTGCAGAAAAGAAACCTGAGCAAGATGCCCCACGAAGGATCTGCCCCTCAAGACCCCCCCAGGAGCCTTATCTGCCCGGCCAGAAAATCCCCACCATTTTCGGAGCCTTCCCAAACAGGAAGGGGCCGTGTCCTCACACGCAGAGGCTTCCCACATGGGAGCACCACTCACCGCAGCGCTGCTGGGCCAGGACAGGCAGCCTGGGCGCCGCAGACCCGGGTGCCGGGAGCTTGAGGGCTGCGGGCCACTGCCCAGGCTGCTCACCCACGTGGCTGACAAGCTTCAGTCCTGCAATGCTGCGCTCTCTGGTGCCAGAGCTGCAGCCGCCAACACAGTTATGACCACACAGCAGCTAAGAAGTATTTATATCCACTCCCGTCCATCCAGGGAACTTTTTTTGCACAAAGGTCTTCTTTTATTTGTTTTCCAAAGGGAGTGTCCCTGGCTGGATGTACAGTTAGCTCATTTACGACGGGCACTTTTGGCCTGAGGGTGACTTGGTCTTGCAGTTACATCACTCAGCATGGGGCATCCCAGGAGTCCCACCTCCGCCCAGTGCCAGGCCCGCGGAGGCGGCAGCTCGGCAGTGGCATGGGGGCTCCGACAGAGGGAGCCACCGAGCCAGGCTTCATTTGGCCCCACGGTCAACATGGGGGGGGAGGATTTTTCCCTCGGCAGGGAGCTCTCTGCTTAGTTCCTGCCCTTTCTCTCACTTTTCCAGTTTGCCACAGGAGTCCAGGAAGCTGGGGAATATTGACCACATGGAAGGTGCTGGAAACCGCCCAGGGGCCAGGGGTCCTGGGACGCCTGATGGTGCCAGCGTTCCAAGCAGGCCCTGGGATACTCAGCTCGAGGTTTTGGGAAAGGAGGGGTAGGAAGGCCTTTGGCACACAGGGCTACTTAGGCGTTTGTATGGCTAATGTCTCTCTCTGGAGCTCTGCCCGGCTGTGGCAGAATGGCTGCTGGGACTATTTTCTACCAGGGGCAGAATTCTCTCTCTCTCGCTCTCTCGCTCTAATTCCTTCATGATTTTTTTTCCCAATTTTTTTTTGAAGATTTTAATTAATTTATTTATTTGAAAGTCAGAGTTAGAGAAAGAGAGGAGTCTTCCATCTCCACTCCCCAAGTGGCCACAGTGGCTGGAGCTGCGCCGATCCGAAGCCAAGAACCAGGAGCTTCCTCCGGGTCTCCCACACGGGTGTAGGGGCCCAAGGACTCGGGCCATCTTCTACTGCTCTCCCAGGCCATAGCAGGGAGCTGGATCGGAAGTGGAGCAGCTGGGACACGAACAGGCGCCCATATGGGATGCTGATGCTGAAGATGGCGGCTCTACCCGCTGGGCCACAGCACCGGTTCCCACAATTCTTTTTCTCACCATGGAAGTTACATTATAACTTCTTTTATGGAAAGTTACAATTTCTTGTAATGCTTCAAACACAATATCCCTATATGGATAGCTTTTCCACTGTAAAAGGAAAACACCAACTCTGTTAGGGCAGGGTTGGGAAACAGAGGGGAAAGGACCACCCTTGACCTCATCATCCTAACGCGTCCCTGCCTCTGTGTCCTGCCCCACTCTCAGAATTTAAATTCAACACCACAGAGCACTGAATTTGCCCAAGACAAGCAAGGAGTCACAAAAGAGACTTGAATTGCTGCGTGAACAAATGAATGAATGAATGAATGATAGGAGACCGGAATGGGCTTCAACATCTGAGTTCAGTTCAAACAATTGTTTTTGATTTTCATTTTATTTGAAAGGCAGAGAGACAGGCAGGCAGAGATCTCCTCTTTGCTGATTCACTCCCCAGATGCCTCTAAGAGTTGGGGCTGGGCCGCGCCCAACCCAGGAACCAGGAACTCAATCCATGTCCCTCACATGGGTGGCAGGGACCCACGTACTTGAGGCACCACCTGCTGCTTTCCTTAGTAGAAAGCGGGATCAGAAGTGATGCATCCGGGACTCACACCCAGGCACTTGCGTGTGGGGTGCGGGAGTCAGAAGCAGTGGCTTAGCCTGCTGTGCCAGACACCCGGCCCAGGAAAGTGATTCTTAAGGTAGACTCAGTGTCCCTGGTCTCACCCAGGAAGGGGAGGGGGAGTCAAATCCGTGGTAAGGACTGTAATGGCACAGAGAGGTTAAGACACCGAGGTCACACAGCCAACAGCCTCCATATGGGGACAGCCGCCCAGCCCGGAGCTTTGGCCTCAGGGTCCAGGGCTGGCCCTGTGCTGGAATGTGCCTTGGGTTTCTCTCCCCAAGCCTCCTGCAGCCTCCGGGCGGTCCCCTTGGCCCTGCTCCCCCAACAGGCCGCATGCCCGGGCCTCTCCTGATGACAGACGTGGCAGGTGGGTTCTGCTGGGGAGGAATCAAACAGCCCCATGAAGGGCAGGCGGGGGACCATGGGGGCCCTAGGCGGGGGTGGCGGAGGTGCTGAGCGCTGTGGGTAAAGCGCCTCCTCCTGCCTCACCAGGGAGCCTCGGCCAGGTGCCCAGAGCACCGGGCGCTGGCGTTTCCCGGGATGAGCGGCTCTGCCCCAGGCCAGCTTGTGCAGCTGGGCCTCAGGAGTCAGCAGCAGCAAGAACAGGGAGCAGAGCTGTGCACTTACATGTCCCCAGGCACCCAACTCACACGACAGTTCCATGCAGTGGTGGGCATTGTCACCAGCAAAGGAGATGACACAGCCAGTTGGTGGCAGAGCCAAAGCCCTGGAGTCCCAGCTCAGAGGCAGGAGTCCCCTCCCACGCTCCTCCAGGATGGAACCCAAGGGATCCTGGCTCCAAGACCCACGTCCCACCTGCCTTCCCGGCTGTCTGTTCTTTCCGTGCCCTCCTGCAGTAATCCCCAGTGGTGAGAACAACCCTGGCCACCAAGTACCGCAGATAAACACAGCGGGCCCAGCACCTGCCCTGCAGTCCCCTCCACGGGGCTGTGCAGTATCTGTGCGGTACCTGCTCCCACGATCCCGCCTCACAACTGAAGGAACACATGCAGGAGGTTGGCCCACCAGCCCCACGTCACTCAGCCCAGCAGTGGTGACGCTGAGGCCTGACGCACATCCGGGAGCAAGGGTCCTTGCTGGGTCTCAGGAGCAAGCCCAGGGGAGGAGGAGGAAGAACGGGAAGGGGGTGGGGAATGGAGTCCAAGGTGCGCATTGAGCGGAGACTTCCCCGGGGTTGAACATTCTCCCCCCGGTGCCGGGCGTCTGCTGCCAGCTCAGAGCAATGCTGTGGACAGAGGAGGGCGTGACAGGCAGGCGGTGACCCTGCCACACGCTCCTGCTACTGGAGCCCACGGAACCCTCTTCCCAGGGCTTCGAGATCGCTGATGCTTTTCAAAGGAGTTTGCAGCCCAGAGCGGGGAAGTGACCTGCCCGGGTCACGCAGGTAGCGAGGGCAGAGCTGGAACCTGAGCTCAGAGTCGTCAGGCTGCAAAGGACGGCTTCTTCCCACGCCATGTGGCTGCGGGGTGCCTGCTAGGACGGCATGGTGGTGGGCAAGGGGGCCACGCCAGAGACACGACCCTTGTGCCTACTCCCAGACACGCATGGTGACATGGGAGGAAGGCCACCCTCCGCTCAACCCCAGCTCCATGATGGGGCACCGTGCTGCTCACGCCTGCCCCTGCATTGGTGTGCATACAGCAGGGGCCCAAACATGCTCAGGCCTGCCTCTGTATTGATGTGCATACAGCAGGGGCTCATTCCAGAAGGGAGGATTTGTGTACCGTGTGCATAGCGTGTCACCCAACCTCACGCCTTCCTGTGCAGTAAACGTCACATCCCCATTTTGCAGGCAGGGCACTGAGGCTCAGAGGGGTGGTCCCACAGATGCGAACCTCCCAGATCTAAGGCCAGCCACTGTGCCCTGGGCCTCCCGGAGGGTCTCAGCACGGCCAGCTCCACTACGCTACTCATCTGCATGGACGTGGTTCCCTTGGGTGGGGGGGGGAGCACTCGACGGGGCTGGAATCCTCCCTGTGTGAGGAGGGGCATGAGAAGGACAGAAGGATCTGGACAGGGAGAGCATCTGAGGCCAGGGGAGCAACCACATTGGGGAGGGTCCCTCTCCCTCCGGCCACTGGGAGTTTCCCTGCCCTCATCCTGGAAATTCCAGTTCCTCACCCCAGGGGCTGGGGACCAGCAGGGAATAAAGAAAGCAGAGGTGTCGTTGTCATGGAGACAGTTTGCAGGGAGGGTTTCCCAGCAGCCCCCAGCTCCCACTGGGCCAGGCAGCTGCCGGCCAGCTCTGCAGTGGCAGGTGGCTGAGGGTGGCATTTCTGTGACAATTGGTCAGGTGGGGCTGAAAGGCCAGCCCAGCTGGGCGACTTGGCCAAATCCCTTAATGCCACCTCCAGTCTCAGTTTCTTCGACTGCAAATCAGAACCAGTCAAATTTCTTTGTAGGGTCTTTGGCGCCTGCTATTCTAAGTTGTTATTTATTTATTTTTATTTGAAAGGCAGAGAGAGAGAGAGAAAGGGAGAGAGAGAGAGAAAGAGATCTTCCATCTGCTAGTTCACTCCCCAAATGCCTGCAACCCCTGGGGCTGAGCCAGGCAGAAGCCAGGATCCTCGAACTCCATCCAGGTCTCCCACATCCCTCATTCCAAAGCCACCTTGTGGGTGGCCAGGACTGAGCCACCCCCGGCTGTCTGCAGGGAGCTGGGGTCAGAGGCGGATTCCAGGCTGGCACTATGTTCCCTATGGACTGCATCCCTCCACGAGTCTGTGTGTCTCCCTGACGCGGGGGCCACGCTCATCTTCCCCGCACCTTTCCTGTTTTAGTGTGTGTGCTGCCCCAGCGAGCACAAGGCAGGGTCTTTGTGGGGTGCTTGCGGTCTGGATTCCCTCTTTGCTTTCAGTCTCCAGTCTTCCTGATCCCCAGCCCCGGAACCCCACGTCATTCATCCACTGACCACTGGAGGGCATGAGTCACACAAATATCGGCGGCCCAGGGCTCCCCAGGTTTGTAGCACCTTGAATGACTTGGAGGTGACCGACCCGGTGGGATTTTTGCTGGAAATGCCCAGGCGGCCATCCTGGGCGGAGAAGGTGGACCAAGAGGAGGACAGGCTTTGCCGGCTAAGCCCCTGCGGTGAGTCATGCTGCCCAGTGTGGGCTGCCCCTCCGCTGCGTGTGAGGGCCTGGCCGGGCAGGCAGCCTGCCAGCTAGCTTGGCCTGCCAGCCGCAAGTGTTCATCCACAGCCCGATTTTTTTACACACGCTCCCCAGCACATTCTGCAGCTCCCCCTGCCTCCCGCTGCGGGACGTGATGGCTCCACCGGCAAGGGTTTGGGCGCAAGTGGTGCACCTGGGGATATCAGCAGGGGAAGGGGGCTTGAAAATAGGGAAGAGCGGGCCCGGGAAACCGGCGGTCACAAGGGGCCACCAGAGCCCGGAGCGCCTGGGACACCGCGCAGCACACAGGCGCTAGGCCACTTACCCAGCAACCCCACAGACGCTGGCGCCTGCCCAGGTCGGGTTAACTGCTGAGGCCTGCTGTGGGCGGGTCGGCCCTGCTCAGTCTCGGACAGCCCTCCAGGCCGCAGGTGCAGATGCCTACAGCAGGGGCTCGCAAGCGCACCCGCACGAGTGACGTGAACAGACGTCACTGCTTCAAGCGGGTTAGGAGCGGCCAAGCGGAGGAAGACAAGTGTTGGGCCTCTTTCTCGCCGACTGCAGCCTCCGCAGATGTGGGACGCTGATCCGACAGTTCCAACGTCTTCCGCCAGCCACGTGCCTGCTGCGTCTCTTCCTCGGTGGCTACGCCTCACCGTGGGGCCTCTTTCTCCTCAAGGGCTCCCTGAAGCTGTTTCGGCGCTGCCGCCCGGGCCTGCTGAGCCTCGCCCTGCATCACGTCTTGTCTCTCATGCTCTCGCAAGAGCCCCTTCCCTAGCACCGTGCCTGTCGAGACCACGGAAGTCGCCTCCTCCAGGCTCCGGCCACCTGGGGTGCAGAGATGTCCCGCGCAGCATTGCTTGTGCGTGTCCACCACAGCCTAGGTGCTCAGCACCCGAGGAAGCCTGCTGGGCTAGCTTCACGGTGAATCTTGGCAGGGTCAAAGAAAAAAATTGTTTTAAAGATTTGTTGTTACAGAGAGTCAGAGGCAGAGAGAGAGGGAGAGAGAGAGAGAGGTCTTCCATCCACTGGTTCACTCCCCAAATGGCCACAATGGCTGGAGCTGCGCCGATCTGAAGCCAGGAGCTTCTTCCAGGTCTCCCATGTGGGTGCAGGGGCCCAAGCACTCAGGCCATCTTGTACTGCTTTCCCAGGCCATAGCGGAGAGCTGGATCAGAAGAGGAGCAGCTGGGTCTAGAACTGGTGCCCATATGGGATGCTGGCGCTGCAGGCGGTGGCTTTACCTGCTTTGCCACAGTGCTGGCCCCTCAAAGAATTCTTTATGACAAGGAGAAATGCTTAAAGGCCTAGGAAAGAATGTGAGAAACAATTGTGAAATGTGAGAGTGGTGAATCACAGGGAGCGGTTACTCCCTTCTGAACTCTGCTCTGGGGTTGTCATGTAGACGTGTGCTGATTTTTTTTTTTTTTTTTTTTTTTTTTTTTTGACAGGCAGAGTGGATAGTGAGAGAGAGAGACAGAGAGAAAGGTCTTCCTTTTGCTGTTGGTTCACCCTCCAATGGCCACCACGGCTGGTGTGCTGTGGCCGGTGCACCACGCTGATCCGAAGGCAAGAGCCAGGTGCTTCTCCTGGTCTCCCATAAGGTGCAGGGCCCAAGCACTTGGGCCATCCTCCACTGCCTTCCCAGGCCACAGCAGAGAGCTGGCCTGGAAGAGGGGCAACTGGGAAAGAATCCAGCGCCCCGACCGGGACTAGAACCCGGTGTGCCAGTGCTGCTAGGCGGAGGACTAGCCTATTGAGCCGTGGCGCCGGCCAAAGATGGATTTATTTTTAAACATCTATTTATTGGGGGCGGCGCTGTGGCACAATGGGTTAACGCCCTGGCCTGAAGAGCCGGCATCCCAAATGGGAGCCAGTTTGAGACCCGGCTGCTCCTCTTTCGACCCAGCTCTCTGCTGTGGCCTGGGAAGGCAGTAGAAGATGGCCCAAGTCCTTGGGCCCCTGCACCCATGTGGGAGACCCAGAAGAAGCTCCTGACTCCTGGCTTCAGATCGGCACAGCTCCGGTAGTTGCGGCCAATTGGGGAGTGAACCAGCAGATGGAAGATATCTTTCTCTCTCTCTCTTCCTCTGCTTCTCTCTGGCTTTCAAATAAATAAATAAAATCTTTTTTTTTAATCTATTTATTCAAAAGAGTTACAGAGAGGCAGAGGCAGAGAGAGAATCTTCCACTGCTGGTTCACTCCCCAGATGGCCACAACAGCCAGAGCTGCACCGATCCGAAGCCAGGAGCTTCTTCTGGGTTGTCCCACGAGGATGCAGGGACCCAAGGTCTTGGGCCATCTTCTGCTGTTTTCCCAGGCCATAGCAGAGAGCTAGGTTGGAAGTGGAGCAGCCGGGACTCAAACCAGTGCCCGTATGGGATGCCGGCACTGTGGGTGGTGGCTTTACCTACTACGCCACAGCACTGGCCTCTAAAGATGGATTCTTTGAACATACTATGTTGCACATGAAGTATGCTCATGGACCACTTTCCCCCTCTTCCTCTGGTACAAATGAAAAAAAAAAAAAAAACTTTTGAGAGGCAGAGAGAGAGGGAGGGAGAGCCTGGTCCCATCTGAGGGCTCACTCCCCAATGTGAGCAACAGCCCCAGGCCTGGTGCTAACCATGGAAGCCAGAAACTCAACCCAGGTCTCCCACATGGCTGGCAGAAGCCAACTACCTGAGCCATCACCTGCGCCTCCCAGAGTCTATACTGGCAGAAAGCTGGAGTCAGGAGCCAGAGTTGGGACTTGAGCCCAGGTGCTCAGATGTGGGACACAGGCACCTTAACCACTAACGCTGGTCTCTCTGGCTCACGTTTCAGGAGGCAGAGGGCTGGTTCCCTGGAAGCAGAGTGAGAACCAGGAGGATGGGCTGCAGACCCCAAATCCCAGGGAGGTTGGCAGAGCAGAGCTGCCCACTCTTGAGCCAGAGGAGACAGCCCGGGGAGAATAGGAGGAAAGTGGGGTGGGTGGAATCCATCAGCAACCTGGCATGAAGCTGGGAACGGGGCAAGGTAAGAGCAGGGGCCACCATGAGGCAGATTCAGGGACGCGTGCCCTGAATGAGCCCGCTGCTGAAGCCATCTGTGGACTGGGAAGAGCTGTTCTTGGTTTGTTTTCTCATCTGCAAAACAGGGCCACGGTCACTGTGCCTCTTCCTTGCGTCTTTGTGAGGATTAAAGGAGTCACGTGACCCACCTGCCCGCAGCCAGGCCCATCTGCCCCTGCTCTGCGGAGCATGGCTTTCTGCAGGCGGGGGCTTGCCTGCTGCTGTGGTTCTCCCAGTGTCCAGAACTTGCTGGCACCCAACCGACACATGGCCGGGCACCCGTCATTTTGTTCCCACCACACCCCCCATTCTCTGAGATAAGTTGTGTCACCTCTATTTTGCAGACCACAGAATTGAGGCTTAGAGAGGTACATGAAGAGCCAAGCCAGCTCCTGGGAAAGAAACAAAGAAAGAGGGACAGGGAGAAGGCCTGGCTGGTGCTAGACAGTCCCCGAAGCTCTGGGGAGGCACCATGACACAAGGGGGCTAGGGGCGGCTGTTGGCTGGCTTGGCAGTTCAGAACTCAGGGTGTGCCCTCAGAGTCCTCAACAGGAGGGGTGCTGTGTGTCCTCCTGCCTGTGGCTGCAGAGGTGGCACTGCAGGAGGGGACCTGGGACTTCAGCATCGGATACCTGCGGCCCCAGCTCAGTGCCCTGTGCCCACTCACCAGGAGTTCAGCGGCACACCATGCCTTTGCACATGCTGTTCACGCTGCCTGGAACACCCTTCCCCTGACCAGCTCCGCTCCACTGCCAAGTCCTGCTACCTCTAGAGGTTCCACTGCCCCTCCATGCCCAAGCCCTGGGTCCCCAAAGCCCCTTGGGCTCCCCTTCAGGTCCCACTACTTTGCTTTTTATTTTATTCATTTTATTTATATGGAAGGCAGAGGGACAGAGACTGACAAAGATCTTCCATCTGCTGCTGGTTCACTCCCCAGACGCTCACAACAGTGGGGACTGGGCTCTAGCTTTGGCTCCATTCGGGTCCCCCATGTGGGTGACCTAACTTCTTGAGCCATCAACTGTTGTCTCCCAGGGTGCACCTTAGCAGGAAGCTGGAACTGGGCCTCCGATCCAAGTACTCTGGTGAGATGGGGGGCATCTCGAGCAGTATCTTATCCCTGTACCGAATGCCTGCCCACCACTGTTTCCACACCAGACACACGTCTCACACAACCCTAGAGCATGGAAAAAGTGATCAATGGACATTTTTTTTTTTGGTAAATATTACTTTTTATATAGCTTTAATTTTTCAATTTCCACATAGTAACTGAACACATTTACAGGGTACAGTTGTGGCATTTCAATACCCATTCACCAGGTGTACTAGATCAGTCATTGGCTTACCCATCACCTCATGTATCTTTTTTGGTGCTGGGGATTTTTTAATTGAGATGAAATCCACATATAATAAAAATCCCCCTTTTAAAATATACACTTTCGTGGTTTTTAGGATTTTCACAAGGTTGTATAACTGCCACCACTACGTAATCCCACACCACGTTCATCACCCCAAATAGAAACCTCAGTCATTTCTCCATTTCTTCCTCCCTTGGCTCCTGCCAACAACCAGTCTCTTCGTCTACAAATTCCCCTGTCCTGGACATTGTACATCAGTGGAATCACACACCACGTGACCCTGGAGCCTAGCTCATCACGTTGAGCATGGCGTCTTCAAGGTGCACCCAGCTGACGCCACGTTTGAGCCATCCTCTGTGTATGGCCGAGGAAGCTCCCGCTGCGTGGGTGCAGCACGTTTCCTGTATCCAGCCTCAGTTACGAGCATTTTGACTATTAAGAGCAGTGCTGCTAGGACGGGTGTATGCCTAGGAGAGTTGTTGGCGCACGAGGAAGCTGTATGCTCAACTGTTTAGAGAAAGTGCCAGACTTTAAGCACCCTCACTGCTTCCTCCCCACCCACGGACTGAGAGGTTCCGGTCAGCCCACATCCTTGGCAGCACTTGTTATCGGCTCTCCTTCTTACGTGGCTCCTAAGTGGGTGTGATGTGGCCAATGGGCTTTTTGATTTTTTTTTCTGGTTTTAAGATTGATTTATTTTATTTGAAAGAGATACACAGAGAGAGGAAGAGACAGACAAAGAGGTCTTCTACCCACTGGTTCACTCTTCAAATGGCTGCAATGGCCGGGGCTGGGCCAGGGCAAAGCCAGGAGTCAGGAGCTTCCTCCAGGTCTCCCACAGGGGTTCAGGGGCTCAGGCACTCTACAGCCACAATGTCAACCCCATGGCCAATGGGCTTTTGAGGAATGAACGGGTAACGCACCAATGTTGGATGGGAGGACACATGGAGGAGGGTGCCAGTCCCCGAGCTCTGATTCTGGTGGAAGAGTAGCTCCCCTGGGGAGCCTGTGTCCAGGGGAGACCCGGCTATCAGCAGCTTGGCCTTGACTGTGGTTCTAGCCCCCTCAATGCAAAATGCACAGGTGGCCTGGACTCCCCTAATCCCACGGAAGGCTCAGGAGAGAGCCCCTTTCCAGACTCTGTAACCCCCTAGCCTTGTTTCTTCTGTGAGGTGGAACCAGCACACCACCAGCTCGCGGGGTGACTGCCAGGATGAGCCGTGCCACGCACACAGTCTGGAAGGTTGCCAGGCTGATTTCTCGAAGGTTCACAGGCAATGTGATACACAAGAAGGCGCTCAAAGTGAGGGGGAGGGGTGTACAGCGGGAAACTGCAGCCAGGGCAGCAGCCACGGAGACGGCGCGGGAGGTAGGACAATCCCAGCAGGATTATCACAGGCCTTGACAGAGTTTCCTCCTCCCCATTCACCTCCCAAGCGCCACTCTCACAGGCCGGGGACCGGCACCTCCTTGGTTACCCAGCACAGGTTCTCTGACTCACTGCCTGTAGTAACCGACAAGAGGGGGCGGGCTTGGCCGTGCAGTGGGTTGAGCTACAGCTTGGGACTCCCACATCCCACAAGGACCACAAGGAGCCCTTGTGGTTGAGTCCCCTCCCCACTTTTTTTTTTCTTTTTTAAGATTTATTTATTTGAAATAGAGAGAGAGGCCGGCGCCGCGGCTCACTAGGTTAATCCTCCACCTGCGGTGCCGGCACCCCGGGTTCTAGCCCCGGTTGGGGCACTGGATTCTGTCCCGGCTGCTCCTCTTCCAGTCCAGCTCTCTGCTGTGGCCAGGAAGGCAGTGGAGGATGGCCCAAGTCCTTGGGCCCTGCACCCGCATGGGAGACCAGGAGGAAGCACCTGGCTCCTGGCTACAGATCAGCGCAGTGCGCCTGCCGCAACGCACTAGCCATAGCGGCCACTTGGGGGGTGAACCAATGGAGAAAGGAAGACCTTTCTCTCTGTCTC